CGGTCTTTATAAGTTATATTGTCTATGAGAGATTTATTTTGGACCTATTTGCATAAGTATGGTGATGCAAATGCAGTTGTCATCGAATTTATAATCATCGATCAGTCTAAGTTTTATTTTGTCAATAAATGTAAATATCCTTTTTGGTTAACAAAGGATGCAACCGAATCTGTAAATTAAGACAAGTATGCGAAAAACTTAAGTTTTCCAACCACCATTATTGCCTTGTTTACAACTATAAAATCGGAAGTAAAAATAACAATTAGGACAGCGTATACTAACTATTTGATTTTTGTTGTGAGTTGTATACAATATCACTTCTTTTTGAAATTATGTCAAGTCCAAGAGACATACATCTAGTTTTGTATTAAAGTCTTCTGTCAAGAACTACACGAATGTAAATGTTACTGTGGACAAGGTAGCTGAAACATTTGCAAATAGGTGTAATAAATTTAAGAATATTGTATTAGTAAAAGTATCATATACATTTGTCATTTATATCACTGTATTAAATAATGTATTACCTAATTATTTGTAGGGAGTAAATTAGTTAGTAGACTATCTATTAATCGATTTGCAAGGTACATTATGAATATTTCATAATGTAGCTTGTAAATCGATTAATGTATTTAAACCAGACGCTCGTCAAATAATGCAGTTCAAGGCGGAAATGTAGTGAGGGATACATCAGGATTAGAATGTGTGTTACAGAACAAGAAACTGATGACAATAGTTGGAATAACTAGTCAATGTCAACGCACTCGATAAAAGCGCGGGATTAAAAAAGGCGCGAATATGTGCAAGTACTACTGTATAACCAACGACAACACCTATGAAAAACCAGACATAAGCTATATTACAACCAGGCCTACGAAAAAGTCAAACTATGTAAATAATGAATCACTGAATATGATTAGACGAAATCACAGAGGTACAAACTATGTTAGATATTTACGTGGTAAAGGAGTGTAGTTTCCTGATAGGTCTAAACAACGTCATCAGTTACCAAATCAATTATTTTTACTAGTTTTAGTCATACAATTGTTCTCATTTAAACTTGCGCTATTATGCTAATTCAACCTAGGGCAGATGTAGTTCCCACAATATATCTATACTTACACGAGGAGAGCGTGGTTTCGGTGATTTTGTAAAGTAAGAAATAATAGATGTAGAAAGAAATGTGTAGATTTTGAACTTTTTTCTTTTTTCATTGATTTACTGTGTTGATTATGCACCACAGTGCTTTGTACTGTAATTATTTTCTGCCATTATGAAAAATTCATTGCCAATATTTCTTTCAAGGTCCCTTGCATTATTTTGCGTGTACTAATATGTACTAGGTGTACAATGCAGTTGCCTGCTTGCAATTTTGAGCGGAGCTATCATAGTACTGTAATCCAATACTTTTGCAAAGTCAATGCTAAATATAGTTCACGTAATTGAGATGTCTCCTACAAGTCCACTAAGTCAATTGTATAATTGTTTCTCATAAATGGGATGACTACTTGTAGTATCCAAAGTCAATGCTTTATCTGTTTCTCTTAAATGAAATCTCTACTTGCAGTATCTAAAGTTAATGATAAATCTATGCTAAAACTATTGCCTTGGGTGTAGTACGCCAGTGTCACGGTGATAACGGCGGGAGTGGTCGTGGTAGGCACGGATGAGTCGTTGTTCTTGCAAGGCTGTTTTTTGCCTGTCTTCTGGCTCAGTCAGCACTTACACCATCGGGAAGAGATAGTACATCCAAACTAACAAAAATAGGTTCCAAGGACCCATATTAGATTTAATACAATTGGCGGCAAACGTTATTGTTGATTAGTATGTTAAATAACAATAAAACTGTTGTAGGAGTTTGTTCCTAACCGTAGGTGCTCTGTATAATATTTAAATCGCTAAAATTATACCCCAACAATCAACGTTTACAATCGTGATACGTAAACAAATGATCCAATAATATGTAAGCCGAAGGATCGTCGTAAATTAATGTCTTTCGTGTAATACAACAATATGATAATAAACAATGTTACTATATCACTAATAACGTGTACGTAGACCGTCGTAATTAGGCTCAAATTAAAATATAATAATGCAATGTCAGTATTAAACAATCTTAATACTTGTGCGTAACAATATTGCTGTACTACAGAGAAACAAGGGTTTTCGAGTCGCTGTTGAATAATAGGACAACAAGATATTTAATAATAATACGTTAATGAATACTATTACTATTAAACAGTTTCAATCCCAAATATTTTACGGGCAAGCAAGTCGGTTGTATTATGCAGAAATAAAGCCTATAGTAGAATTATGAACGAGGAAACTCAAATAGTAAACCGCACGAATACCGTTATCAAACAGCTGATTGGGCCCCTCTTATCTCTTGCCCATTCATCCAGAGTACAATTGACGAGCTTAAACAGTGTACAGTACATTTCTTTTTACGTACAGGTCTAGAAGGGTAGGTACAGGTCGACTAGCATTTACAATTCTCACCAAATATTTGGTAAACTGAATGATAACTGAAAGATAACTGAATGCTCTGACATGAAGCAGTGTTCTTCTTTACCTATAAAACAAGGTTGACACCTTTCTTCACTGATCACGTAATGCGTGATTTTCTATAAAGTCTTGGAAAAATAAAAGGAAAAATAGATAGACTACAGGTGTACTGTATGTGGTTTACACACAAATATTCATCAAACTGTGTGATAGTTTGTTATAGCAATGAACAGTTTGAGAGTACCTATCGTATTGTTTAAGTCGATGGAAAATCTCTGTTGATCCTGTTTTACAAGCAAACCAAAAAGATACAGTAGTCACCACTCTATGCGACATATTCTAGCCAGAATATTGTAATCGTATGATTCTATAAGCATTGGTAGGATTGCAAAGTACTACACAAACATTATTTCAAGGGTAATAACAGTCACAATTTCCGCTGACTTTAAAAGAGCCAACTAAACTATTATACTAATGGACACACAACTAAATGGAACAACTAATGGAAATTCTCACGATGTACATTCGTTCGATATAAGCATTGAGTATACACGTCAGTACATACGTGTATACCCAATGATATAAGCAACGGTTCTTGCAATTTATTGCTTATTGTTTTTTAGAGTTGTTTTCGGACTTACTCACACTCGTATAAGGTTTTCCACGTTTGTCATTGATAATGTAGCCATGTTGCTTTGAAATGGCGACCATACAAAATGTATGCATTTTAAGCCAAGTATGAATGGAGATGAGTGTGGGATGAGTGGAGCGATCTTGTTGTCCTGTTTGTGACTAAGGCCGACATAATCCTTAGACACAGCTGTTAATTAATAGTGCATACAGTCAATTAATAGCAGCAGAGGTCAAGTTTGGTATCAAATTAAAGGTTTTATTCATAAAAATACATTGCTGCAAACCCAAACTCAAACGAGGATGATGATAATAACGTTAATGATGTCGCTAAAACGTATCGTTTGAAATTTAACAGCTGAAAATAAGTGAAATAGAAAAGGTTTTGGTTAAATCCATCAAATTGTAATTGGACACTAGTAAATACTAGTGCACTTGTTGCTACCTCCCCCCTTCGGTTTCATGTATTCCTCTCAATCAGTTCAAACCTAGGAGGATTAAACATTAATGTTAATTAATGTTAAATCCTCCTAGATTCAAACCTGAAACACCCAGATCGAAACTCGCCTGTCGTTATTTTACCATCGCCTGTTTTTTAAATATATTTTTCAAAAAAGAAATATTATATTGATTTACTTTGGTTTTTAAAAATGTTAACGTTTTATTTTGTTAAAGATTTATGGTGATACGTAAATATTGTGGTGTAGTAGAGTATATTATATTGTAGTTAAGTGTTAAATTTTGAAATTTTAGGGTGAATCGAGATGAATCTTTGTTTATAACATGGGTCTCTCCTACCTTAACATACATACCAAGTTTGATAAACATCGGTTGGAAAAGTGCAAAGATAAATATTTGTATGTAAAAAATACAAAATGGCGGATATCTGGTTAACGAAATTATTTTGGAAAAAATGTTATCCTTGATCTGTTTATTTTGACCCAAGGAATTACTAGGTAAAGTATCTCCCCGCTTATTTTAACACCCTGTTTATGATGTATTCTTATAAGTGAAAAATGTTAGCTGGTAATAAAGAAAGATGTTTTATAAATAATATGAATGTACTGGTGATCTGTATATTCACCTTTTTCTTGTCCTTAGATAAATTAAATTAGATAAATTAAAAGTCCACTCAGCAGTCGCATCGTACGATGTAGTTCTTTCCATGCTTGCGAAATGCTACATTTGCCGTCCTCTTCAACCCAAGTTATCTACTGAACCACTGATTGTAAAAAAATTCAAAAAAATATATTTTACGCATTACACTTTTGGCTACAACTTTGCCACAGACAAAACCTCTCTAACCCAAAAACAAAAAAAAATCTCGCATGCTAACTTTTTCATGTTAGAAATCACGATTTAAAACTATTTCACCATACAAATCATTTTTTATTAATTAGATCGGTAAATAGTTTAAAGTTCCAACAAAATAGTCATCGAGTAGGACTAACCAAGAAGCTCTGTGCCAAATTTCAAAATTTTAGCACAACTTTAAGAACACCAAAACACGAAATTATTGAAGACATGCGTCGAGAGGACTATCGTTGTTTTTAACAGATTATACTTTTGACCTTCCGGCACTGTTGACTCAGCGAAACTGAACTTATATTTTATCTTATTTCGTTATATTAAAACTGCTGTTGCATTAAGTCAAATTCCCAATAAGTCAATTGCTTTAAAATAGACTAAACTTTTAGCCCGGACTGTACTATTTGACTTTCTGGGATTTTTGATCTACAGACACTGCAAACATTGTAGTTTTTGACCTAGCGGCACAGGTTTAAATTATTTGACCTTCCGGGACTGTTGACTTTCTGCAACGCGTCCCAGCTGACAGACAGAGATAAAAAAAAGAAACAAGACAACAAACCGAAACCAACAAACATAAACATGGCCGCAAGCTTGCTTCAATTTGATCCTCCAAGCTCTGGAAGCTCTGACTGGTAAGTTAATTGGGTTTCCTGCAATTTAAATACGCATTAGTTAATTTCTTATGTTCTTGAAGTTTAATATATCAATACCTGTGGTAAGTTGATTTTTAATTAGTATTTTTATTGAATAATACATTTTGTCTTCTGCTACGTATGTACACATGTTTGTGACGTCATTCTATTTCCTGCGGGGTCAAGGAATATTCATTATTTGTAATATTTGAAAATCTTCAACTATTTCGGGTACCTATTCATCTGTTTGATAGAAGTTAATCTGTTTTTTCAATATAGTATTTTTTTTAAATATTAATTGCTTTTTTCACAATTGGATTACAATTAGGTTATATCAAATATATTTTTAGCTAAAATTGATAAGTAAACTTTTATCTGCACCATACCCAGTTTCAATTTAGCCTTCAGTGGTTTCTTGGGCTGCACTTGCGTTACGTTCTACACTCATTCGAATGAAAAATATCGATATTTAGATTTTTCGATATATCGATTATTTCATCCGGTTTAGTTGGGTCAGGTTAACCTAACTAGCCAAACTTGATATATCGAATTAAATAATCGATAGGCCTAATTCATTCGAATGAGTGTAGGACGTCAACTAAAGTGCAGCCGTTTCTTAAAACAGGGAAGGCCTACTGGATACCAGGTTAAATTCTAACCTGTAAGCTGATATAAAAATCAAACTGAGAAATTGGGAACATTTTATTTAACTACAATTTTGCTACCGGTAACTTAGCATTCGTAGGAAGGCTACAGTATAAGAAAAATATAGGTTAAAAGGGATTGAGGCGTCACAGAGGAAGCTGTAACCTAATTGTAGTAGCCTAAAGGTGTAGGCTAACATAAAATAATATTTTCAATTATTTCATTTATTTTTGCTCGTATCTACACCAGTGGCATCAGTGAATTTGATCTTAACCATTAAAAAAATTATTTCAGCCATGACCATAACATTAGTGATATAACTCCAAAACCTCTTAAGCTAGGAAATACAAGCAATGATCTAACTTACAGTACTTAGCCTAGTCTTGCTCACAAGGGCCTCTGCAGCAAACTTGTAGCTTTCAAGCTGTCGGTAAGTTAGTTGAGTTGTGTCCGTCGTGCTTGTTATGGCCGGCCGCACATTTTTCGTTAGCTTAATGTATCTGAGTGTGTTTCAAATGTTAAATTTGTGTATTTTGATGACGACATCATGTTCAAATTTTATTTTTTATGTTAGACGACAAGGCTTGAAAATGAAACATCAGTTTCGAAACTAGTTGCCTAAGACTATAGGCTACTAGGATTGACGACGTAAGGTACCTTATGTTAACTTTGTTATATTAACTTATGTTAGGTACTTAAACTGGCGAGCGACCTTTATTTCAATTTTTAAACGCTATATTATGTTGGTGACGGATTAACAATTTTATAGATTTTCTGACATTATCTGTTTTACTACACTTTAGCTACTATTGTAATATTAAAAACAATAGTTTTAAAGAACGTAAGTCCACTTGACTCAAAATGTCTTTTTTATTGTGCTTACTTTAAGCCCGAATGAAAAAAAAATAACTCAAACCGATCCAAAACAAATATAGTTAATATTTGTAGTAGTTAAACGAAAACTTATTAGCCTATACTTTTCACACCTGAAGTGTGTCTGCTACAAAAAGAAAACTAGATAAAAAGTATTGTTTTTAATCTAATAAAAGCATTTTAGCAAACATCTTTTTCAAGAAACGAGATACAGTAGAACATCGATAAGACGTGTTTCTAAGGGATCAGAAAAATAGTCTTGTTATCGAGGTGCTATGTAGGCCTAATGCAGTAGGCCTAGGCCTTACTATTAATATTGTGTATGAAATGTTGATAAGTTATTAAATAAAATGTGAGTATTATAAAAAATACACTACAGTAAATTTTTTTTAATAATTGTATGCAACGCAGTTGACGAAATATTAAATTCCCTAGTAATTTCAGATTTCTTTTTTATTTGGGAATTATTTGGGAACTGTGCATGCTTTACCATCTTTCTTAAAAATTCTACTGTTAATAAATTTAGTTTGTTTTCCAGACATGATTACCACTCATAAAACACACAAAACATTTACAGCTCACAAGCACAAAAAAACATAATACTGGACATGAAATGAAACAACAAATTATCAGTAATACAGTAAAGACTAAAATGAACAGACACGCTACTGATCTGTCAATGATAAAAACTATGCTCTATAAAATAGGAATGATTTGTGTGTGGAGTAGGAATTTTACTTGTTCTAGTCTGGATTGACGTTGTTTCCCCCAAAACATACACTCTGGCGAATCCCCGTGAGAACCGTATCATATAGACATCGAGTTTGATAAGGTGTCTTCTTGAGACTGTTTTAATAAAAATAGCTGTGTTATAGAGGTTAATAAATCATTGGGTGTTTTGGCTTTTTTAAGGGGACATGAAAAGTACACTTGTAATCGTCGTTGTTGGGTCATTGAGGGTCGTGTAAACGGGTTTCTACTGTACATGAATTATCAATGTTTCAACGTCAGTTGCTTGATTAGTGCTGTGTAATAGTATTTTGTTGCCTATGACCTAACCTTGAGAGATAAAATACTAATCCAAGTTAGTATTTCTTCTCAAAACATTGCTTATTAATACGGTTTTATTACATAAAAATTGTCTTATGCAATCTGTCTTTAGAAAAAGAATCATAAGTCTTTTACTTTATTATCCAAATAACTAACAAATAGCTGTGCCTTACTAGTTAGGAACACTTGATATTGATCATTGTTATAGTACATTATTTAATTAACGCATATGAGATTTTGCCTTTTATTCAAAATAAAGTTAATACACAAGTATGCAACAACAACTAATGTAGTTACTTGACGCACCTTGTATTTTCTCTAAACAATTAAATGACAATGAACAACAAGTCTACATGTGTCATTAATACAAAGTTTATAAACAATTTGCTATCCACCATTACATGTTTATGTCAAATTTAATCAATATCAGATCACAATTACTCGAGCTATTGTGTTAACAGACACACACACACACACACACACATACAAATTTTAATAACTAATGGGCCTAGTGTTTTTGACTTCTTAGGACATTAAAATGTAAAGTGAAATAGTTTATTACTGATATACTTTATGTATTTTCAGCAAAAAAAAAAAATAAATAAAAAAAAATAAGAGATTGTATAGTAGCACAGTGCATTTATACACTCTCATATTTTACTTACTAAACAACTCATAGGTACTAAAAATGTCTCTATTATTTTGTTATAATAATTGTTACTATGTGTGGCTGTTGCTAAGTCACATATTATAGACAGTAATTCATTTCAGAAAAAAATTACTGCAGAATTGTAGTACCTAGGGCCGAAAATGAGCTGCAAAACTATTTCCGAACGCTATTTTCTCCCACACTATACCCTATCACCACTATTCACTTTACAATAATAATTCTCACAGTAACAGACACACAACTACAACTTTAAGGTTATGTGGAATATTTTAAGGAATCAGCAAAAATAACAATTAACAAAGAAAAGAATGAGGATAAGAATAGTTTATTGCCATTGACCATGTACAAAAAGGAATAGGCATTGTCAAGTTGCACCAGAATAAAAACAAAAACAAGTAACTTATAAATTCATATATCTACATAAACCAAGAGTCATTGAGTTCTAAAGAGTTCTAAAATCTAAATAAAAAATAAAACTAGTTAAAAAATAAAATAGTTGACTTATCTGCGGTGACAATAAAAGAAGTCTGCTGCGATACTGCTTGTGTATTTAATATACTTTAATTTTTCAAGTAAATAAGCAAACAGCTGGTTTTCAAAACCTGCTCAGTCCCCAATTGACGATGGCAGCTAGCATGGGCCTCCAAAACCATTTGTGAAACGGCTAAAAACATGTTTTGTTGTATGGTGAAAAAGTTATATTTACTACTTTCAAAGTATTATTTTTGAAAGCATGATTAATGATTTTGACAGTTGTATGATAAGCAAGAGGGGACATTTTGATAAGGCGAATGTGTGACCTTGTAACCACAATTAGCTGTCTGTGGGCTCGTTTGCTACTAGTTAACACAATCGTCAATTGTGTTCATGAGCCCATCACAATCATGTGCAGGTTCGTTACTCTTACTCTTCCGCCTATTACTATTATTTAAAAAAATCCTTTCACCTTTGGCTGTATGCAAACTTTTAATCACTTGTGCAGCTCTTAAACAAATGCTCAAAATAAAATGCATGTAATGAAAATGCTACCCTATACCATAAAGAATAAATAAATTTATTTAAACTGTTTGTCGCTGCTTTTAGTTTAATAACAAGTAGGCCTAAAACCTATTTAAAATCTTGAAATATTACTTTAGATATGTTTGTAATAAATAATTTTAAACACTACAGCAACATAATTTTAATAATAAGCTACATCAATGTTTTGATTGTAAAATGTTTTGATTTAGCACTTTGAAATGTCATCCAAGACATTTTCAAGAAGCTCCTTTAAATTGGGGTTTTAATTTTGTGCAAGTATTATATAAATGAAAGGAATCATGTTATAAAATATATGGATTTCTCAGCAAGGTGAGGATGAAGAACAGGCTAATGTTGCTAAAACTACTAAAACAGTTGCACACATTGATTACGGTTTGGTATTCATTATCCGATCTTCAGATATCCGACCTTTGCTGCGGAAGATCAAGTACTGTGAAGTCACATGATATTTCCAAGTAGTGTGGCTATACACCATGTAGCAAGTCTATAGAGACAGTATCTTTTGCTTTTATCCAGTCAAATAGAAAAATTAACCTACCTTTTTTGACCTTAAGATTGACAAGAAAGTTTATTAAAGATGGTTCCTAAACATTGGTCTGTTTTATTTTCAAATGGCGTTCAAGTGGTGGTTTGGTTCTTTCTTGCCAACTTTGATTTCTACAATCTCCATTTTGGAACTCAGGACATACTCAGAGTGTATCCTTGTGTAGTAGGTGGGTTATACTTTTGACTATTGATAAAACTTGACATTTCATCACCATGTTAAATTTGTCACCCAATTTTAAATCAAAATGGAGGGAGTTGAATTGAAACCCCATCAGAGTGTGTCTACCTCTCCCTTAACACTGTTAGGTACTGTTGTTTGAATGACATGACTATGTTGTGTTGTAGTGATGCATGTGAACGAGACGTGGAAGACCAGGTGTTTGTCCAGGGATGTCTGGAAGATGAGGAGGAGCGCAGTGGTGACTTCTATATTGCGTCTACCTCTCCCCCTCCCCCACCACAGTCCCCACGCCCACCCTCCGCTGGTGAGTAGACCATCACACTTTGGCTTTCAACACATCAAAAACATAATTTTTTTTAAACTGGGCCTATGCAGGATTACCAGAAAGTAACAGATTATCTAGCCTGTCCCAGCAGTGGATGGGTACAGTAGTGCTGGTCTCTTGGTATCATAATGTTTCTACACATTCATTACACAACCGGCTGTTTCCACCAGCCTTTTCATTTCCTAAAACCTGTCACTATTCTCTTGCTATGACTTTTTACACTTTCATGGAGTAGAGTTTTAGCATGACTGTGATTGGAAATCTCAATAGCTGTGTGGTGCGGTAAGGTTACATTGGGAGTAGATTTTTCCTGACCAGGACATACCCAACCATAGGAAGCCTGGTCGGCACACCTACACCGCAGCCAGTCAGTCTTACAGTCACAGTACAATGTTAGCTGCAGCAAAAGCAAAGTTACTTTTACCCTAGTTTGGATTTTGTGATTGAGTTTTGCTTCCGATTTGGAAAATAAATGAGGAACTTTTCGATTGAACGTTAATGGACAACAATTTACTACTTAAAATACCCACGAGAAAGTAGGTTCATGAGTTTAATGAAGACCACAGGCCAAGTAAACAGTCTTTACCCAACCTGCTTACATATGCGTGGTCTTCCAGAAAACCCCGTGGTAAATAGGCTCCTCCCTCAACTGCACAACGGCTGAAGCGATCTGCACCAAATTTAGCACAAACATGGGAATTTTAACTAACCATGGGAAGGTATGGATCTGAAATAGTACAAATCGGACCACAGGGCTTTTCCCTACGTGAATTTAAACTTTTGGAAATTTAACATGGGCCTTATGGGTTAAATGGTCGCCATGACATTATTTTGCGAGATAACAACAAAAAGGTAAACAAGAGTTGCAACATATGTTAGTCAACGAATCATCTAAATAGCACATTACAAATACTGTACAGAGAAAAAGGGAAGAACAATAGTATTAATATCATTGAGCATAGTTTACTACAAAATGCTCAAATTACCAATAATTAAGGTTGCTGGAATAAGGCTGATGTACCATTGACTTTAAATAATCCAAATAGCCATTCCATTTATGTGAACCAAATAAAGACCTACCATTGAGTTTGGATACTGCAAGTAGACTTTCCATTTAATGTGAACTAGACTTACCATTCAATAATGCAGACTTTGAATAGGTACTGCAATTAGGAATTCCATTATTGTGAACCAAAGATACCACTGAGTTTGGATACTGCAAGTAGACATTCCATTGAAGTGAACCAGACGTACCATAGACTTTGTATACTGCAAATAGGAACTCCATTTATGCGAATCAAATGAACCATTGCTTTGGATCCTGCAAGTAGACAATTCATTAACGTGAACCAAATGTACTACCAAATGTAAATGAGTTTGGATACTGCAAGTAGACAATTCGTTTACGTGAACCCGACGTATCATTGGTTTAAAAGCTGCAAATAGACTTTCCAATTAAGTGAACCAGAAGTAAGCCTACCGTTGACTTTGGATACTACAAATAGGCATCTTATTTATGCAAACCAAATGGACCATTGACTTTGAATACTGCAAGTAGATTTCTCATAAATGTGAAGCAGGTGTACCATTGATTTAGGATAGTGCAAGTAGACAATTCTTTTACGTGAACCAAATGTACTTAAGTTTGGATACCATTCATTTTAGAACCTCAACCTGTAAATAGACATTCCATTTAAGTGAACCAGGCATACCATTGACTTTGGATACTGCAAATAAGCATTTTATTTATGCGAACCAAATGTATCATTGACAGAGGATAGTGCAAGTAGACATTTAATATATGAGAACTAGATGAAGCATAGACTTTGGTTCCTGCAAGTAGACAATTCATTTACGTGAACCAGCCGTATAATTCACTTTGAATACTGCTAATGGACATTCCATTTATGTGAACCAAATATAGCCTACCATTGACATTGGATACTGCAAGTATTTAATCTCATTTACGAGGAACAGATGTAGCATTAACTTTAGAAAAGTATTGGATTAATATGCTATATGCTAGCTCCGCTTAATATTGCAAGCAGACAACTGCATTGTACACCTAGTTTAATTGTGTCAGACAAGCTCAGACCCATCTCTCCTTTCCAGCACTACAACAAGCGCAAGTGTAGGAGGGCAGACAGCACCACATGTGTTTGTTTTCGTCAAACTCGGTCACACCCACCCAGACTGTCAAATTTTGCTTCCAATGTACTAGCAGCCTTAGGTTTGTGATTACCAAAATCTACCAAACAATTTGAATTTTTGCTGCCAGATTTGTCTGAAATTCCCATTGTGGAGGGGGGGGGGAAGGGAGAGGTGCCATCAGTTACTAGTAGACTAATATTGTGAAGTTTGGTTCAGAGATTTACAAATTAATGCACCTGTGCTTTTCTTGGCTTTCACCCATCATTCCTTCACCATACACGAGACAAATTTGATTATCAACCCATTCCGATGCCAAAGACTTCATGTTCTTGTCTAGTGCCTGTTACCTCGTTAGGCCAAAACGCTTGTTACTTTCCGGATGGACAACATTGTGTTGGAAAAGTGTTACTTTGTTACAAACCTCAATGATTAACAAAATATTTATCTTCTAGAATAAAACATTAGTTTACATAAAACCATTATAATGTAAATGAAAGAACAGTATTCTTTGGAAGTTACTCGTCTGATTTGGAAAAGAGTTTTTCTTCACAGGCTGTTTCTTCCTGATGCACTTCACAAAGAAAATGAGTAAGCAAAAAAGGTAGGCTTCAAATTCAGTAAAGATATTGATGGCAATCATGAGCTTAATTTTTTTTCTAGAACGCTAGGCACTAGCCTGGGACTATTTTCACGTTACTTCAGGCCAGACCAAGGAGTTGCGTTATTATCACTTAGATAAAATCCATTGGTGATTTGGTGGGGTTTGAACCGGGGACCTCACTAGACCAGCTTGCTCCTCATAAGCTTGATATTAGAAAATACATAAATTAAAATACATTTTAAGGTTATCTTATAAAAAGATAGGGCATTTGCCAGGAATTATTAAGGAAATTGACAGGAAAGCAGGCTTACCTTTAAATAAGTCCATAGAGACACATAAAACATCATAAAATTAAAAGTAGAAATTTTCGTGGTCACTGACCACTTTTTCAACCACTGGAGATTGGAGAAAATCACCAATCTCTCAATTTGTTTTTCTCCAATCTCCAGTGGTTGAAGAAAATTTCTACTTTTAATTTTGTGATGTTTTATGTGTCTCTATGGACTTATTTAAAGGTAAGCCTGCTTTCCTGTCAATTTCCTTAATAAATTAAAATACAATTTTTCAACAATATTATAAAATCATGAATACAGTATATTCACATTTGTCAGTGTCATATCATTGTCTAACATGGCAATTAGGCTGATAACATTTATAAAACATATCAACCATAAAATAATTTTTGTAACTTATTCCTTTGTAATTAATTTGAGTCACAAAATTTGTTTCCAGGTCCTTTTCCAGGTTGTGCAAGCCCAATACCTAAAGGTTGGTTTTATAGTTTGCAAATCTTCAGGGTCGTGGCTGGGCAGGGTTGGGTGGGGGCAGGTAAAGAAGACGACAAAAATAGGAAAATATAACATTTCATAACTTTTTTGTAATTTATATAACCGAACATGAAACAAAACATTACTTTGCTCATGTTTACTGAACTGTAATGAAATTAAACCCAAATCAGTAATTCAAAATATACTTGGCATTAATCATCCTAAAACCGAACATGATAAATGCAAGCTAGAGTCCAAACAAAGTCCCACAATTAATGACATCTGGTTTATTGGTGAATAAATGTGTTGAATGTTATGACGGTAATAACTTCATAATTGACATCAGATTGTTTCTCCGTTAAAGTGAGCCACTGAATTTGCATAAACACTGTAAGTAATATTAGCTTAATAATCAACTCAGCTGAATAGTGGATATTGGCTCCTACTCTGAGTGGTGCCCTGTTGAGAGGCTTACTGTGGTAGGGATTCTAACTGAAAATCCCTTATAGTACCTCTACCCTGTGTACTCCTCAAACAAATAGTAATGCAAAACAATGCATCTTTACAAACAAGTGGAAAAACAACATGCAGAACTAGCTCTATGATGTCCAAAAGTTTTTTTATATTTGAACCCGTAGATGTACTATATCATGAAAAGTTTGATTGGGGAGGGGATGAGCTATTGGGGGAGACAATCCCTCCCATGCGACGGCCCTGATGTTTAATTGGGATTACTAACAAACTTGTTTTCACAAGGGTTTGTAGTAGATGTTTTTGAGTAGTCCTTATGGTAGATATGAAAAATTAAATTTATTTATAATTTTGTAATCCTAATTTTCTCTAACAAAGAACTATCGTGCATAATCTAGCGTTAATTAGCCTTTAACATATAACCAAAACAAAAAAGCTGAAAAATATTGTGAGTAGAACCTTTTATTACAAAAATTTCATGTAATGCTTCTTATTTTTGAAATATACTTTTGGAGAAGTAGTGTTATGTAACCGTAGTTAGTGTGTGACTAAAACTTGTGCCCTGTGTTCAAATAAAATCATGCAACTAGCCTAAGCTACCAAGTCCAGTTGTAAAGCTTCATCTGATTATCCACATACAATCAATAAACACACACTAATAAGTTATGGTTTTTACTTCGTTTTAAAGCATTAAAATGTATTTTGGAATTATTCACAACTATAACCTCAAATTCAATCATCAATTCAACTTATAAACAAACATTTACTGAAACATAAACAGTGTTAAAAGAACACACAAACCAGCTGTCTAAAGCCGTCTGCTATTGGTTGATGCGTAATGGTTTGTGATTAGTTAACCACATTTGTCAGCTCCAATGTACAGTAAAAGAGCAAAATACTTGTTGCCAACCTTCTTCTGTTGCATTTGGTACAATTTGCAGCCAGTTATGCCAAAATATGATACTGAAAGAACTGATTTTCCGATTGTCTCTCTCCGACATTTCTCGCACAACCTCAGCCGTCTCGTTAAGATACGTTCGGTACTCAAGCTACGACAATGGAGCGTCTCGTAGCAAGACACTCAAAGGGTTAAAAAAATGTTAAAAACAAACAAAGCAACAGTAGACTTCCTCTAGTCCGTCAGGCTCAGATCTAGATTCGAGGACGGACTGAAAAATGGAATTCTTTCATTCTTTTATTTTCACAGAAGTTACACAAAAACAAACAACAATAACAATGAATTTAACAGGTGGCAGCTGTGTGAATTAAAATCAGCACCGTCTGGGTCGGCGGATGACGCCACACGCGCAACTGAGGCAACCTTTTTTTCAGTAGCCTTGATCCAATGGGACAGTCATGATTTGTTGTGAGTGATTTAAAAGTACTTTGCCTACAGTTGTCAAACAAAGGGGCATTTTGTTCACTCAAATTGGTTTACAAAACAGCTGATTTCTCAACATTTTACTTTGCCCCATGGACTTTCCTCACTCCGAATGACAACTGAGCAAAACAAATCCAGGCTATGTTTATTTTAATTAATTGAATGATAAACAACAGGAAATGGGCCATACGTAGATTAAATTTCCATTAACAATAGTAAAATGTTAAAAAAAACACATAAAAAACAATGATTTATATTTTGAAAAAGTTGTAATTATTTATTTACAAATATAACTAATTGAAGAGTAATTTTGGTTTTAAAATTTTTTGGATTTGCTGTGATATTGTTTATCTTGTCTTCAATATTGATCATAAATATAAAATCATCCTAATTTCAATGTTGTAAATACGTTTGTCAAGAAAATAATAATTTTTGAATTGTTGTATACCAAAACTGTAGACAAAATACCATAAAAAACAATTTGTCTTCAAAGTGTCCCTTTTAACTCTATAAACATTTTTCTCTCTTTTGAAAAATGCCACTTTGCTCCCTAATACCATAACTTTTACCAACATCAACTGTCAACACAACTGTTTTGGACTCTCTCTTATCCAGTTCACTTTACAATTGAAGACTATAACTCAATAACACTGTACACTCTAAAATTCTCAGCATAGAAAAAAACAATATCTTATAATGTGGCTCAGGGTCGTGCAAGTCTCCTCGGTCCCGTAGACAACGCACCACATCCATGTCTCAGAGCAAGAAGACGTCATCGGAGTCGGTCATCAGGGGCCTGACTCGGACCATCTACACGGCCGGGCGACCCCCTTGGTACAACAGCGCTGGACAACAAGTGGAACCATTTGTTATAGGTAATTAGATACTGTACCCATGCTTTTCAACCGGGAGAGGTTGAAAAAAGTAATAATGTAGCTTTAAAAAGGTGTGATTGATTTTAGAAACATAACTTTATCACCCTTTTTATCTTGTTTTCCTTTGTCTTACCTAGGTTGCTTGACTCTAGCCCAAAACCGTTTTACACATTACTTCAGGCTAGGCTTAGAGGGCCACGCCATCTATATTATTAATACGCTACATGAAACTTTGTGAACAATAAGGCATTTTTGTTTTAAGATTTAACCCCACATAGTATATACCAAAATTCTCGTCTAGGTGTGTAGATTTGCAAACTGACCTTACATTTTTGAAAAAAAAAACACTGGGCTCCGCCTGTGCTATAAACATTTACTGGCTTGGTTGAAATGAAATATTTACTATTTGAATTTGGGTTGGTGTAAATATTACAATGGAATACTAAAAAGAACTGAATTAACACTGTGCTGCATTTCTTGAGCAATGATTCAAAGAGCTGATTTGCAAACTATGGAAACATGGGAAAGTCATAGAACACCACCAAGTAGAAGAAATAGAAATAATGGTTTAAAAAAAATTAATAATCATTGTTATGGACAACCTAACGTGGCTATGAGTGGGAAACATTTGTAAGTTAGAAGACACTAAAAAACAAGATCAGCTTTTGAAAAATGATAAGATATTTACTAGAAATGTTGATTGTATCGAACTGTTATGTACATCGTGAGTATTTCCATAATCTTTGAGTCGATTCTTTTTAAGTCATCGGAAATGACTTTATGACTTTTTTAAATAATACCTGTAATACTTTGCAATTGCTCAAATTCGAGCAACAGGTACACTAGTTATTACTTATAGACTAGATCCAAACACTAGACCAAATGATTCCTTACTCAATCACCCCATAGTTAAATGTAGTATGATAATTAAACACCCACTGCAAAAAACCTGCAGACTATTTGCAAGCCTGCAAATTTTTATTTTTTTGATTGGATTTTCATTCAACTATTTCCTTCAACATGTTGATTTGTTGTTTTATCGGAATAAGCAGTGCAAACTGCCATTTTTGGCTTTCTTAAGCCATTAAACATAAAAATAAAAATAAAACTTCATTATCATACACAAATGTACAGATAAAATTGTATGCTCAAAACCCTCTTACCATACAGAGACAACCTAAATCACAAAAAAAAAATTATAATTATTTTACCCAATGTTAAATATTTTTCTAAAACCGGCTAAATAAAACTAAAAGGCAACATAAATTTTTGGTGCTGTTAAAAGGTATCTGTGGCGGAAGTGCGTCTGGGAAGACTACAGTAGCCACTGAGATCATAGAGAGCCTCAACGTACCCTGGGTCACTCTCCTCAGCATGGACTCATTCTACAAGGTCAATCACTTAACATAGGGTTTAGGTCTGGAAAAAGTATTACCATGAGAACTGCAGTAATAGCTTATTCCCTATATGGGAAATATGCTAAAGGAGGCGTAAGGGCGGCTATGTGGATAGTGGAGGCTGTATTAAATTAAAAAAGACGTTTTTAAAGCGATAAATAAAATACTTAACTTATATCTGATATTTTAACACGTTGAGTATGGGCTACATCAATTGATGTAGTGCATCACAAGCGCTCCTATCGGGCTACATCAAATGATGTAGTTGCGCCACTCTCACTACATTAGTTCAGTATGAGCTCAGCAATTGCCAGGGAACTTTATAATCGCTGCCAGGCTGTAGCTTAGAATGCCAGCTTTATTTTGGTGTAGATTGGTAAAAAAAATTCCTGTAAAATCCCATCTGGCAATGCTTTTGTCCCGGTTTTGGGGATTTTCTCAATTCGAGCCATATTACAAAGACACTGGTTATTGATCCAGTCAGTGCTACTATCTTTAGGTGTTTCAGTGAACTACGTCCACTTTCGGGGCAACGCAGCTCAATCACCTCTGCTCTTTTGTGATTCGTCGATAAAATATTTGAATGCCAATTACGTTTGCTGATTCAGTGGAGCGCCGAGGCTTTGCCAGGGCCTCAACGCCATTGGCGAGCGCCTTTTTAAAGGTTTTCAGCTCTCAACGTGTTAAGACACAACCACAAGCATTTTTGTTTGCAGTTAATTCAAGTGTTTTATCGTTTTTCATATCTAGCCTTGTGTATAAGTGTATGAAAATTCATATCTGTGTATCAATATCTACTTATATCATTTCTGTTCAATGGAAGTTATACAATTTCAATGATACCGGTACTTAAATGGGAAGTCTTACAGCTGTTATAAAACTGTGCATACATTTTATCTTACGAGTAAATTTGCTACCAATTGATATAGTATGACAATTCTATTCTACTGCAGTACTTAGAATTCTACCACTACTCACATTAAACCTACCATTTACTTTTGGGCTAGTGATTAATTTTTTGTATTAATCATACAATATAGTGAATAGTGTAGTCATTTATTTATTTCGTTTCTATGACATAGCTCTATTTTGTAGAAATCAATTATGCAATCATAACAACAGAAATACTGCATCATTACATTTTACGGTGACATAGTATTTATTTTACATATAAAAACTTTTAAGCTAATGCAATAATTAGTTCAATTAGAACCATTGAATATTGAATAATTTAAACATTAATCGAAGACGAAGCGGTTGACAACTTTCAAACAGTTGACTAGGCCTAGTTGCCTTCAAAACTAATATTTCAATAATTGCAATGCAAACTGTATGCATTGAGGTCGGCAAACAGTATTCACTGTGCAGGCACTTTGGACGTCGTGGCACTTGGACGTCGTGCAACAGTCAAATATTGGTTGGACGTCGTGGCACTTGGACGTCGTGCAACTGGCAGAGGCTTTGGACGTGGTGCAAATGATACTTCTTTACAATTCTACAGTGCGCTGTTTCACGACGTCCAAGTGCCACGACGTCCAAAGCTTGTAGAAAGACTATATTTTTGGCAGTTACTGTACTTTTGGACGTCGTGGCACTTGGACGTCGTGCAACAACTCAAAAATTATGTTTTGGACGTCGTGGCACTGGAAAAATATTATTGGACGTCGTGGCACTTGGACGTCGTGCAACACTCCCCTAAAGAACTAGCTGATCTTAGTCAATAACAAATCTTTAACTGATTCATTTGACACTCTTCTTCTGAAAATACACGCCTTTGTGTGTTGGTGCTGTAAAAAAAACTCTAAATATAAAAATATTTTTTGGCTCAGTATAAATAATGTTAACATTACATGTTTGGAATAACTAATTTTAGTGCGATAAAAATATATAGTGTATAGAAGCGATAAAATGGAATTGAGATTTCACCGAAATCATTTCACAAGAAAAAACTGACAATAGTTACCTACTAGACTCAATACAATTAGTGATGTGGGCCGGGTAAATACCCAGTTGGTAGGTAAATATAAATTGGGTATTTACCTGGGTATTTACCCCAGGCCCGGGTAAATACCCAAAAACTGGGTATTTATAATTTGTATTAAAGTTAGAGAAGATTGAGATGTTTTTTTGCAATTATTACCTTGTAAGGATAGCAAAATGATAATAAAATGTGTTAAACTAAATTTCATATGGTCACTACTAGCATTTTACTTCTCGGTATAATCGCCATAAATACCCAGGTCTGAGCATAAAGCATAATCGGCATAAATACCCTGGTCGCATGGTTGCACTGGTCCTGACTACTTATGATTTTTTAATTTCTATGATAGATAGATGAGTTTATTTTATTAAAAGTGAAGACTAATAATTTGTAAAGTAATAATTATTATTTAGAAAGACAGGAAAATTTAACCTAGTAGTGGCCTATGTGTGGACAACTTAAGAAAATAATTAAAATTCAATCTGTAGGATGGCAGGATTTAATAATATTTTTGTTCTAGATCTTTTGTTGGTAAACTTATAAAAAAAAACTAATTTCATAAACTTGTGATACAAAAAATTTGAATCTATAGCACAATAAATCTTTCAAAATTATATTATAGGCCCTAAGTTAGACCAAAAAACAGGAGATACATTTTTTAATAGGTTTATCCAAATATATTATTGTTCCCAACTAAGCGGTAACATAGAAAAGTTTAATGAAGACTCCCTTTTATCCGGACACCTTTTAACCGGACAATTTGTATTAGCCCATTGGTTTAACCTGACTAGATTGGCAAGAAGTGAGCGGTACTGAAATGACTGTTCTCGTGGGAAAGATTTGAGACCAGTGATCACGTATCTAAATACAATGCTCTCCTAAATTAAAGTCGAATATGACAGTACCAGTACACGGTTTCTGTTTTAACAAGTTTTTGGGGACGTTGGTTTAACCAGAAAACCCGTTATCTGGACTAGCCTTGGTCCCGAGGAGTCCGGATAAGAGGGAGTCTACTGTACATTCAGTATTCTGCCATTCTGCCTATATCAATCAGGCCTTGGGTCTGTCCAGCCTTCCAAGCCATTTACACAATACAAATTTTAACTAACATAATTTATTAACAGTAGAAGTAGATTTAGGTTCACTATTTCTCTGATGAGGTGTTGTCTTGATTTCATAAAAACAAGTGCTAAATCATTAAATAAAAGGTACTAGCAATTCTGCAAAGCTTCAAGTTACTGTAAAAGGTGAAATAGACTATCCTAATTTATCATGTAATGATAACAATAACATATTTAGGTGTGGATAAAAATGAATTTCAATCGATTTCATAAATACCCAAAATACCCGGGTATTTATGGATTTTGGGTATTTACCCGGGTAAATACCCAGGGTATTTACCCCGAGTTTTAAATACCTGGGTATTTTACATCACTAAATACAATCCATTAGACCAATAACCCCGCCGCAGCAAACCTGCAGACTAAGCGAATTTCCATTTGCCTGATTGGATTTACACTATGTCTCCTTAAAAATATCACATTTTTAAATATAATTAGTTTAACAAGTACTTACGTTTGCTGCAACAGGGAGGGTAAAAAAGTCATTTTTTCAAATGTTAATAGTTTAGTAAGATATGAATGCATTTTATAAATTTGATCAAAATATGTTCCTAAACAAGCAAACTACAACATAATTTTTGTTGTTTTTTTGCCTCCTGATCACGATATAAATTATTACTAGAGGTTAAAATACCTTATAATCCGTCAATGTGATCATGTCACCGATGAAAGGCGACCATCTTCAGGCAAAGAATGGACATAGAATTACTCCAAAGAGTTTGTCAATGAACACGAAACGAAAAACAATAACACTTAAAACACATTTTTACAAAAAACCACGTGTGGCAACAAATTAACTGTGCTGCGGATGGTATGCATACATTGGGTTACAGGTCCAGATTGTCGCAGCAGGCTGACAGTCTATAATTTAATTCTTTTTGTCTGTGACGGTACCCAAGAAGTCGCATCTATTACCTGATTTATCCACTATTCGCCCACCCCTATTTTACAAACTTGAAATTATTATTACAAAAATATCTGTAAATCTACCGCTTGTCCTCTGGTGTTTAAAACCGAAGATTAATAATGCCTATCTTGCCGTAAAATTTATACAAAAATAGGGAAACATTTGCTGGACATTAACAAGTATTGCTGTCTCAAAGTTATATATGATAATGAAATTGATTTTCAGGTGCTGAACGAAGAGCAGCATAAGTTGGCAGCCAAGAACGAATACAACTTTGACCACCCAGATTCATTTGACTTTGAACTACTGATACCCACACTGCAGAGGCTAAAGAAAGGCAAGAAAGTGGATGTTCCCATCTACAACTTTGTTACCCACCGTAGAGAGTCCAGGACGGTGAGTGGGACTGTTTAGAGACTACAAAATGTAGTGAAAAATTAATGAAAAAGAAAATATTTTTAAGCCATACTTCCTTCAGACTGTAATTAAAAACTAACAGATTAACATGACATCTCTCTTCATTGTATTTAGAGCAGTATCTTCTATTAGGGAAGGAAGAAATCATTAAACTTTAATTTTAATTTAATATTTTAACAAAATTTTCATCTCTTTTTAGGAAAGTATTGCACTTTAAAAAAAAACAATGACAGTCAAATAAAAAATTACTTTTTGGTTTTATTTCTAATGGTTTGTTTTAAAATATTGTATTTGTTGCAGAAAACCATGTATGGTGCCAATGTCATAATCTTTGAAGGAATTTTGGCATTCTACAACAGTGAAGTATTGAAGGTATTATACAAATATTGAATAAGAAATTTAATATTTTTTATAACTGTTGATTTTTATACTATTTTGTTTGATGACTAGCGGACTAAATTACAACAAAAATTATAACTAGAATGTAAAAAATATATATTTTTTGCCACTAAGAGTGGTTGCTTGTACCTCCAACTTTGTTCACTTAATACTAATGCATTATTCACCAAGTATGTATGTTGAGTTGACTTGCTGCTAAAGTGAGTAATAGGATAGTACATGATGCCACTGAATAAACGCCTTGTGTATAAACTTCTTTACAGTAAGTTAATTCTTTTTATTCAAGCGAAATATCCAAGTTAGTAAATTATAGTTAATCTTCAATCAATCAACCAATAAATCTTATTCGTTGTACAAGTTTGTACATTTGAACGACAGGAAATGTGCGTGATTTGGTAGTGGTCAGAGGAAGATATATAGGGCCCAGGTATCTTAATTTACAATCATACTACTCCACATCATCACAGTTAAAGAGCGCTAATTTTTCTTTATATGTAGAATTAAACCAATTTCTATCCATGGACTGTTTTAAACACCTGATTCTGAAAATTTTTTTGCCCAAGGGTAACCAAAGTAGTTTGATACAAATTCAAATGTTATGTCTGTTTTACAGTTGCTGGACATGAAGATATTTGTAGACACAGACGCAGACATCAGACTAGCGAGGAGACTCAAGCGAGATATCTGTGAGCGAGGCAGAGATCTGGACGGAGTTCTCAAACAGTACTCCAATATGGTCAAGCCTGCCTTCTACCACTACATCGCTCCATCCATGGTAACTTGTAGAAAATTGTGTGTACATTAAGCTGCTACTTTTCAATCCCTTGTACCTAGATTTTATCTAAAAGGTGCTTCCTGGCTTTCAAGGAGGTAGCCTATACAAAAAGGTCTGATATACTTGGAGTAAACCCTCAGAAATCAAAACCAATAAATATAGATTTGTCTTCTTAATCCATACTGTCATTTTACAGCAGCTTGTAAAAATGTAGTACAACCAAGTTAGCGATGCCCTTCTGTAAGCTTCAGTTGAGTACCGGTGTCCGGTATTGTCTTTTCTACTTCATAATAAACTAAGTTTATATTTTTTTCTGTTATATGTGTTTTATTACCTATAATCAGTCTGTACCAATTCTCTTAATTTTAAGTTTAATTCTTTTAATCCAGATGACTTGAGTTCCCAATTTGTCTTAGTTAAGGATTTTATGTAAAGGAATAATTTAGAGTTTCATTTAAACGAACAGCTTGTAGTTGAAACCCCAAATTAGTTTAAATTAATAAGAGTTTAATGTACTATTTTATTTATCTTTATCTTAAACAATGACCAAGTTTTTTTTCAAATCCCACCCCTCACGTATACTGTGTGGTAGATATTATGTTGTATGCGCAGGTACATGCAGACATCATTGTACCTCGAGGTGGAGACAATGCAGTGGCTATTGAACTCATCGTACATCACGTCCACACTCAGTTGACTCTGGTCAGTATGCAAACACATTTTTGCTTGCTAAAAAAAAAAAAACACTTTTAGTTTGAAGCTTCACATTCCTATAGTTTATTTAAAAACAATTAGTGTGCAAAATGCACTGTAGTCTGGGAGATTTTATTAAATCAATTCCAAAACTGTCAGGAAACTTGTTAAATGAGTTTGATTGAAACATGAAAAAATTAGCGAAGATAAAGAAAAAGGTTTGCAATTTTATTTCTGATGTGAATTAATTGGGGGTTTTTTAAAGAATAATTTCCCAACTCTCAGTTCAAGTACTGCATTATGACCAACGGTCAGTATTGTGTTTGTCATAGTTAAATTGCACACATGTTGTATGGTTTTTTTCAAACAGCTGCTAATGATAACTCAAGTTGTAAAATCCTTTAGTGCAATGTACTTATAGTCATCTAATCTTAAATATTTAAACCAAACAACAAAATTCTCTCAAATCTTAAGTGGAGATGATAAGCCATAGATGTACAGCTTTGCTCATGCTATGAGTCCTAGGTAATTCTTCATGAAGAGCCATGAACAGGCAATCCTTGATTATGTGATTCATAGGCTTAACTCTCAGCAACACAGCTACGTGGTAGCCTTTCACTACCCATTTATACTGTTAGTTAGCTATTAATTTTTTGTTTGGATGTTATCTTCATCATATATCTCATAGATCGTGAAAGAAAACATCATAATCTTCTGTAATTGCAGTAAAGTAACAAACATTGTTCCCCCATGATCGTATATTCATCATTGTATCCTGCTATCAAGGCAATATAGTACACATCCCCTGCGATCAAAGATATCATCATTGTCTCCCACTATCGTGACATATATTATCGTGGTACATCATTATTGTCTCCTGTGGTCACGGCAAAATTATTGCATGGTTATTGATAAACCAAAATAGAGTTTTTCCATCAATTCTCAGTTTCAGTCTTTTTACTAAAAGCCTTGTTAAGTATCATTGACAACTGATTTTAAACACAGACCCATACCTATAACTAACTATTGTTGTTGGTATCCTCAGAGAGGCTTCAAGCTGAGAGAAGAGTTAGCCCAATGCAACACCGGCCAACCTCTGCCCAGCTCCATGTACTTACTGCCTGACACTCCTCAGATCAAGGGACTACACACGTTTATCCGCAACAAGGAGACTCCGCGTGACGAGTTCATCTTCTACAGCAAACGGCTGATCAGGCTTGTCATAGAGTATGCACTCTCACTGCTCCCGTTCAAGGTACCATTCTTACTTTTAATCATAATCTGAATAACTTCTTGATCAGCATCGTACGTGTTATGAAATTACCTGAAAAAACAAACAAATTATTCGTCTAATAACACTACTACTAGTGTTATTACACTACACTAACTAATAACACATTACTAGTGTTAGATGTATAATTTGTTTGTTTTTTAGGTAATCATAATCCTATTATTACAGTAAAATCGAATTAATCCAGCTACTGATAATTCGGTATTCACAAACTTTTTTTAATAGGTTTGTGACTTCTTTTAGCCTTGTATTTGCTCGTCCACGAGGGACTTCTGTGCATAGAACGTTTTGAGCAAAGCAAGTAATGAGCTGGTTCAGTACAAGAATGAACTCTACTGATAAAGATGTGGCCCTGGAACAGAAACCCACAACATTGCTGCCTTGATTTCACAATCATTCTTGCTGCTCACTTAACCTCCAACGCATAAAATGATTGACCTTACTTTCATTCACACGGTCCCATTGCAGTAAAACTCCTTAATCCAGCATCCAATATTCCAGCTAATTCAATAATTTATGTTGGTGTAAGGTTTTTTTTTACACTGCCTCCCAACCACATTTTTAAGATTTCAGGAGCATTCTATATTGTTTGCGAGCAATTAGTGTAAGTTGGGCATACTGAAAAATCCCAAAGAAAAACACAAAAAGTGGCCTGATATCTTTACTGTTAGCCCTTTTAACTCTCTATTGCTAGGTTTCACTATTCCTGTGTTGACCTCTATGTTAGACAAGGGTCAGTAATCAAACATTATCGGTAATCTTGCACTTAAGTCAAAGTCCCAAACAAGCTGATTGCCTACTGTGACTGGGTTAACTGAACTTCACTTAGCAGGTATAATCTTGCAAAGAGATAATAAGGCATCAACATCTCTATTGAGTAAAGATTCCATTACGGTTTTCTGTAATGCGGGGTATGAATTTTGTAGGAGATGATGGTGGAGACGCCCCAGGGAGTATTGTACCAAGGGAAGCGCTGTGCCAGTGACAGGATCTGTGGAGTCAGTATCCTGAGGGCTGGAGAAACCATGGAGCAGGCTGTCAGGGACGTCTGCAAGGATATCAGAATAGGAAAGATACTGATACAGACGAACCAACAGACTGGAGAGCCTGAGGTGTGTCATCTATAGTTATTAATAAATGTGAAGAAATACAAATGTGAATTTTAGTGTAAACTAGCTGTTGTACCCGTGCTTCGCAACGGAGAGGACAAAAATCAAAAAAGAATATAAAAAAAAAAAAATTATCTTGAATTCCGTTCTATAAAATAGTTACACATTCCCCTTTGGTTTCAGGAACATAACTCAACTGAAACTCTTAGTTTGAAAAATATCTTTCTTTAAGGCTACCTAGTACGAATTATATGAGGCGCTGATGCATTTATAGAAATAATGTACCCATACGATTCAATTTTGAAATGATAACTTCATATTTTGAGTTGTTTTGTCTCTGGATCACAGAACAACCCATAAAAGAAAGGTATAAAATTACCTGAGTACTGCCAGAGTGATCCTGTTTGTTCCTTACGGATAACGCGTTTCGAAGTCTTCATCATCAGATCTTGTACAAGAACATTAAAACGTTTGTAACATACAAAACACGGAAACATATTATGTACAAACGTGGATGTAAATTCGAGTAGGCCTACCGACGAAAACTTACAATGTCCGACCGCACAGTTACAGGTGAAGGTTAAACATTAAAACTTTGGAAGCTCATGGGGCGTAGCCCAAGGGAAATATAATAACAGGAATATGCCTATAAGTTAACCAGGTATATAAGCTACCTTCATACAAAATTTTATTTCAATCGGTTCAGTGGTTCTTGCGTTATAAAGTAACAGACAGACACACACAAACACACACCATCTCATTTATATATATTAGTATAGAAGTATAGACTAGAGGATGTCCAGTGGTCGAAAACTCAAACAAAAATATGTAATGTACAGGCTTCTCTAACTTTACCCCGTGCTGTAAACAAAACATGGGATTGAAATTTCTTCAATTTGTTTTTATTTTATGTTTATATTTAGTTGTTATTTTGCCACCAGCATGACAACCCATAGGGCCCATCATGTTTTTTTTTAAATTTCAAATACATGTTGTGCTTATTTTTGGTCCTATTTTAATTTATAAAGGTATTATGCACATCTACAGGAAAATTTCTTTCTTGTATGCGTGGATTTTCCCTGCGATGCACACGAGTAGAGAAAAAAGGTTTTAAAGAAACATGCTTGCATATAAATATTTTGTTTTGATTTTCTGTTTATATTTCGTTGTTATTTTGTCACCAGCATGGCAACCCATAAGGCCAATGTATTTTTTTCAATTTCAAACTCCATTTGCTGTGTTTATTTTTGGGCCTATTTTAATATAAAGTGATTCTGCACATCTACAGGAAAATATCCTTCTAACAGTATGCATAGATTTTCCCTGCGATGCATACAAGCTGAGAAAAAGGTTTTAAAGAAACATGCTTGCCTATTAATATATAGATAGATGTGTATAATATATAATAATAATAATAGTTTTTTCCTTTGTTTGAAGTTCATTGTTGGTGATGGTGAGTTAATGTTGTTCAAAGGTTTATTGCGGATATTTTCCATCACGATTGTAAAAAACAATACACGACGTTTCGGGATCTGGAATCTGATCCCGTCCTCAGGTGAAAAAACTTAACTAACACATTACAACTAACAATACACAAACGCCCAACCTAAGTTGGGATACACTACAGAAGGTAGCAGTCAAAAATATGCACTGTATAGCAGTCAAGTCATGATACAACATGCAAATAATAACCAGTCACAAAACACTATAATCTATAAAAGGTGTAACGTAAAAAGCTCACACAATGGAACACTAATAGCACCGTTCGCAATGACTCCACCAATGAGACTGATGCAAAAATGATTGTTGGTCGGCCATGTTGCATCAGTCTCATTGGTGGAGTCATTGCGAACGGTGCTATTAGTGTTCCATTGTGTGAGCTTTTTACGTTACACCTTTTATAGATTATAGTGTTTTGTGATTGGTTATTATTTGCATGTTGTATCATGACTTGACTGCTATACAGTGCATATTTTTGACTGCTACCTTCTGTAGTGTATTCCAACTTAGGTTGGGCATTTGTGTATTGTTAGTTGTAATGTGTTAGTTAAGTTTTTTCACCTGAGGACGGGATCAGATTCCAGATCCCAAAACGTTGTGTATTGTTTTTTTACAATCGTGATGAAAAATGTCCGCAATAAACCTTTGAAGAATAATAGTTTACTGTCCTTAAACACTCAGTAGTATTAGTAACAATTTCATTCAAATAAATCATATTAATCTAAAATGATATTCTGTAAATAAAATTAACATTTAAACAGGAAACTTAATAGATACAAAAAAATATTATAAAAACAACGAAAAGGCTATTTTAAAAATATACTATTCCTTTCAATCCTTTCTTATAAAACAAAGAACTCATTGTTATTTAAAAATTCTGTTGAGGAGTAATCTGCTTCATTGATTAGCCATCTTGACAAGTGAGTTTAGAGCATTTAGGATCAAAGTTACAGATATTAAATAACCAGGCAATATATTAAATAACTATCTGCTGGTACTTGTGGCCGTTTTAAAATTTGCTCAATCTAGTTGAAGCAGTTCAAGTCTTGAGAACCTCTTGTATGATGACTATGTTTAATATCTCTTGTGTTTGTTTTCAGCTTTACTATCTGCGCCTCCCTAAGGACATCAAGGACTACTTTGTGATCCTGATGGATGCGACGGTGGCGACAGGCGCGGCAGCCATGATGGCAATCCGTGTCCTTCTTGACCACGAGGTGCCTGAAGAGAACATTCTCATTGTCTCCTTGCTAATGGCTGAGTCAGGTATGTATTCCAACATTTATGTTAGCTTTTCTTTCATACAAGTTATCATTCTTTAAATATTAAAAAACCCATTAGAATAGGTTTAATTTATCTCTCTCTAAAAAAGCATTGATTTGATACAAAACACAATAGCTCTATCATAACTAATCTTCTGTTGATCCATAATTTTGACTAAAGACTGAGCTATTTTTTTGATAAGCCTAGTTGGTCATAGAAAGACCAACCAGGATTATAATATTTGTTGTTTCATTGGTTTCCAACATCAATGTTTGTTTTTAAGTTGAGTGGCAAATCATTTTTAATCTTCTTCATCTTTGTGGTTGGGAAGATTCGTCAAAAGCAAGTACTAACTCACAAGAAAATGTTTTACAAAATTTTGCCGAATACTTTTTTTTCTGTCGATGTGTTGCTGGAATTTTAGGTACATTTCTTTACAATATTCTTGCATAGCTGTGCTGCAATCCATTGTAACACTAAGCTATAATAAATATCTCTAGAGGTAGCACTTCTTGATAGGATAATGTGCTGCTGGCGGCCATTTTGTAGTGCACTGAGATTGTAAATCCAGGATTGTCTATTACATTCTACCATTGATTTTAGGATACTAAAGTAGAAATCCCATTTATATAGACCAGCTGTCACCAATTTTTTATTAAAACAGAATGTAGTTGTGTCAGCCATTCACAGAATTTGTGAGTGTCTAACATTTTATTTTCTACCCAATTATCTGTTGCTGACATAATTGATGAGTCATAACAGTTGCTATAGCTCATAATAAGACGTTCCATCAGTTTGACATAGTAAAAAACATTGTACATCAACATAAATTAGCAATTTAATCTCTCGGTGGCTCTCATAAACAACGAAGAATTTGAAAAAAAAACTGGCGACAACTTTAACATGAGGATGGACTGTCTAGTTGTATCAATAGTTGAAGATTATACATGCAAGACTAAACACCTTACCAGCCTTACAAACCAACGGCATGTTTGAAGTAGTAGTCAAACTCTCACATCTCCAAACAGTTCAGTTGGTATGAAGCCTAATAGAGGGGGGGGGGGGCATAGATTTGATAAACATCTTCCTTTCCTTTGTTTGGATTTAATTTTGGGTGCTGGTAAGTTAAAGTTATTAAAGGGGTCATTACAGGCATTTAGGTCTTCTTCCTTCTGTAATCACAATTTTGGTTCCAGGTGTACACACGATTGCTTATGCTTTCCCACAAGTGAAAATCGTAACATCAGCTGTGGACCCGGACATTAACGAGAAGTTCTATGTTATCCCAGGCATCGGAAACTTCGGAGATCGCTATTTTGGTACTGAGCCTTCCGGGCAGGTTTGAGACCTAGTCGTAAGATAGATAATTGAATAACATTACATTAGTGACAAGAGAAATCAGTTACCCCAATGTGACTGTACTCTGGTAATCTTGTTGAACAGTTGTTGACAAAGCAATGCCTTTTGACAAAACGTAAATAGTCTTATTCAGGCTAAATTTCTTCTCTAGAAAAAGAATTTACGTCACAGATTTTCTCTATTTTATCTATATCACTGGAAAAGTGATGTGTATTTGTGTAGGAAAATGTTGTCTAACGTAAAAGTATGTTTTTTTTTTGTTTCAAACTTTATTTTACAGAAAAAAAATATTCCACAAAACAGTTGGAAACAGGGTGTTTTTCCAAAACATAATTTTCCAAAACAAGAAAGATTGTTATGAGGAATCCAAAGATGTTTTTTAACTATTTTTTTTACCATTATACACATTATACAAGTTTTATTTTGAAAGTGTGATATGTTTTATCAAGGTACAAAGTCACAAACTATTTTTCTTCAAGCTTTTTCCAGTTCATATTGAGTTGATTTTTTTAAAATATAAGGTCATCACTTTTACGTCTGCATTTATTGAGTTTTTGATTATTGCCAAAATTTGTTACCACAGAAAATATTCCAGGGCTAATTTATCGAGAGTAACTTTTTATACTGCAAGAAGTTAATCTTTTTAATCTGTAATATTTGAGTGTACAAACATTTCAATCCTTTTAGATTACTTGAGATTTATTTATTAGTTTGGCTCATTCCCTTTTTGAGATTAATTGATCAATTTTTTATACATTGCTTCAGTTTAAATACTTATCCCTTGATCTACGTGGCTTTTAGGTAGTAAAAACTAAAAAACAATACCTAAACAAACCTTAATTACTGGCCAAAATATCTATGTCCTTGTAGGTTGATTTTACCCTTTTTAAACTTACTTTTACCCTTTTTGACTGACATAATACATATTTAATTTTTTCATAGTTACTATGCTTTATATTCAACTAATTGTTTAACCATCTATTTGTCAGAAATGTTATACTTGTAGGAATTTTACACTAGATGTGCAATTTTTAGTTCTTAACATCAAGCCAAAGTTAGCTTGGTATGGTTTTATTTATTTTATAAGTTTTTCCTTTTCCTTATATTATTCATCAGTATTCCAAAGCTAAGAGCTTATTCGGTTTTAAGCATATTTATTTCCTACTTGTTTTTAGTTTAGGATTACTATATTACAATATTTAAGGAAGAAACTTATGCTACTTAAATAACTTTAGAAATGAAAATAACTAAGTTTGATTTTTTATGATATAACTTTTTATACGATGACCAAGTTTGTTATGTTATTCTACTCCTAAAAAAATTCGAGGGATGAAGTAAATGAAATACATTTACAAAAAAAAAATTTAATTATAATCAAATGGTTGTAATAAATACATATTTAGACATAATATGGGTACTTTGTTGGAAAGGCCAGTACAAATTGACACTTCTTTGTTATTTTAATTATTTTAAGTCATTTGAAAAATATTATTGTTACTCATTTGTGATCATTGAGCAGATGTTACTATCTAGATCTACATTCTCTTAAAATATCTCTTTGTATCGGTGCTTTTAGTTTCAACACTTATAAACTTGTGATATTTTCTGTTTTATCACTTAAGTCATTAGTTTTAAGCCAGAGACATAATATTTAAAGTAAAATATGTTGTTTTCATAGATCATTCATTAGAAGTGTTATATGGATTTACAGTTGACTCTCAATATTGGACCTGAATAATATATACCTAAAGCCTATTTTTATCTCCTACTGTCACATTTTAGGACACTAGGCTAGCCTGGAACCACTTTTACATTGCTTCAGGCTAGGCCTAGAGGGTCATGACATCAACATTTTGATCAAGTCCTTTCGTGATTGGCAGAATTTAAACCCAGGACCTCTGGGACAGAAGTCTCACACTCTACCATTAAACCAGCTCGCTCCCCAATAACAATCTTAAGCCTATGCCTATTGCAGCTATATCCTAACTGTAATTCCTAATTTAAATGCTAGAAAAGTGAGGTACTTGATTGAATTTACTATGGATTCGCTGTAGATTTTACCCCATGAAAAGATGCAATTCTTCTGTCACAACACAAGCCTACTTCCTGTATTCAATGGGTATCATCCAATGACTCCATCATCAATCATGTAGTCAGGTTGAGGTTACTGAGTTTGTCGGACCATCAAGTGTCGGATTATTGAGAGTCAACTGTCATACATCAACAAGCATACATATTAGTAATGAATTTGTGTCAATTAATGTTATTTGATTTATGACATTTGAATGCAATTCAAGTTTTTTTAGTTGTCTACTAATACTTTCAAACAGTGGTTTGCGGGTCTCCGATATTTTCAAGTTGGGTCAGGAAAATGTAGAGCTCATCCTTATATATAATACGTGAAGGCGATTTCTACAAAACACTACTCCTCCGTTAATAATGGACGGATTTTTACAAACGACGTGTCAAAATAAAGTATTTTTTATGTAGACGCCCCCTTTCACCAATTCCTGTAATAAAAATCCTCGGGCTTTGCCCCACAGGCCATCAAAGTTGGAGTTTCTCCCATAAGATTAACATGGGGGAATCTAAATATTTAATTGGAAACTTTGTCCCCACTAATTTGAGAGAACGGCTGGGCGTAGAAACTTGGTAGAGGTGCCCAAAGAAAGGTCTTGGTCTCTAGATGAGTTATCAAAAGAAAAACGAAGCAAAATCCCTTAGGACTCTGCCCCAGAAGCCTTTAAAGATCCCTCCACAGAGTTGTTTACATTTTGGCCATGAATAATACTTTTTAATGAAACAGCTGTTCATTTTTAAATTGTATTTCAAACAACACACATATTGGGAGTTACTGAATTCTACCAAATCAGTATTTGCAATGTTATTTTCTGATTTTAAAATAGATTTTCTTCTTTATCATGTCATGTTTTGAAATATAACGTTCCGTTACGAAATCAGTGGAAAATCCTTTTATCACAGCAATTCTCAAATTATTCCTTATTGAACTATCTTATATCTATTGTACGGGTTGGTGTCTGCCTTTTTCACCACCTACTTTTATCATATTATTCTACACATATCAAATATCTATGTAGAAATATCTGCTCTTATCGTGTCTAATAAAATCCAAACATAGAAACCTTGCCAAAAATGGTATAAATCTTGACAAATTATTTGCACCTGCCTATATTACGAACTTCGGCCTACTGGGTTGGTAACATTATTGAAAATAACACGGCATTTTGGTTGTAAAATATGGTACAAAGAGAAAATACTATTTAAGCAGCTACTGTAATGACAGAAAGGTCATATTCCTTTTAAACTAGATCAAATAATCCTTTATAAGTAACGTTGATTAACAATATGTAAACTTCATTATTTACGTAACAGTCAATTTACAGTATTTTTGCTTTATGGAAATGTCCCATTGCTATGTAATTTGCATTATTTGTTGCCAATGAAGCCGGAAGACCATATTAACTAGGAGGCCTCTAACAGTTCAATAATAAAAGCCAACTTCAATTCAAGTGTTCCACTATACCTAACACTTAACATTCCGTAGAGAGATTATATTGACAACTTTATGTTATTGATAAGGCTGAGGCAACTAACTGACATCCCTCATGTCAAGGAATTCCAGCTTTAACAGTAACCCCACAATCAATTTCTCAAAACTATGCTAGAGGGTTCATTCATTGGCACAGAAGTACGATATAAACTGACGCGAAGGAAAAATCAAACTTACACTGTAACGGATATATACCTCTCTTTGAAGTTAAAATATGTCTTCCCAAAAAATATTTTCTTTTGAAATAAAATCATATTACACTGATAAAATCACGGAAGTGTTTAACTACAAAAGATCCGCCAATACGATTTTAATACTATTTAAAGGTTCTTCTAAAGGAAGAGATGCCATATAACATACTAATAATAACTCTGATGACGTACGGTATGTGTAATATTCTATTCATTGAATGATCAACCAAATTTGGCAACTAACGCAATTAATATCATTATTGTTTTTACACTTATTACTCTTTAAACAATGCTAAATGCTCAAAATATGTATATTTCACCCAATTTATTGCAGTTAGATGAATTAACGTAACCCTTGAAAGTAACCGTCGATTTTGACGGGTTTCGCCTAGTAACATTAAATAAAGGAACCCCAAATAAGTCTATTCTACGTGACAGTCAATAGTTGGCCCCAGAGATAAGTTTTGGTCGAAAAAATGTTTGGGTAGCCTAGATTTATGCCAGGCAAGTTATATTAGAGGTATGCAAGCGGCTTGACTTTTGAGCTAAGCTTTTGGTGATCACAGAAAGCGTCTGCAATGATATGCAATTGAAAATTGACGATTTTGCTGCAATTGTGGTAATGCTTATGATTTTGTTGCAATAGCGAAAGACTATGATGATGACACTGCAACCACAGAAGTTGTTTACAAGAGATGTTCACAATAATTGCACCTTGACTGAAAAAGATGTTGAAAATTTTGCTGTGATTACAGGAGATGTTCCTAATACCATCACATTAGCGGGAGATAATTTTGTATACTAATTGTTTTTTTCTAAAGCAACCCATTTTTAACCTGGCCCAAAGTAAACAAATCTGGCCCGCAGGCCCCTACTTTCACAAGTATTGACATATTTTATGCCTGTTTGCCATCATAATATGTATTATCTCATTTGATGTACTTTTTAGTATTAAAATAATTTGTTTGGCCTATATACTAAAACATTGACAGGTATTTTAGAAAGTGCTTGCTCATGTAACCAATAACAGTGTCAATTCATTGCTTAAAATTAAGTTAGAAAAGTCAAATAGTACTTGAGCTAGTCTCATACTGTAGTTTTAGCAGATGAAATCAAGTACAATTATGTCTAATCTGAATTGTAACATAGCTACTGTTAGCTATCTTTTCCATAATATAATCTATATGTTTAAATAAAACTTGCATAATTTTCAATTGATAAAAAAATTCATAATTCTTGAGCAAAATCTAGTAAAAGTTAAACTACATACAAACGTTTTCCTAGCTGCATCCAAAGATATATTTACCTTCTCATTATTTAACTAGGGATGGGCCGATTCCTATTCTCGATCCTCGATACTTCTCTTGATTGTACTCGATACCGATTCCGAAAAAGGGGTTAGTTATAGTGATGGTCAGATCCGGATATCGGACTACTGAATCAATGAGATCTGAACTAGAACCTACGCCCAATCAGATCCACAATAAATTGGATCTTAGGCTGGATTCGGTTTTGATGGATCCGATTTGGTTTCATCAAACAAAAGAACTTTATATGGAGGATCCCGATTATAAGGCATATACTGTGACATTGCCAAGCCATATAAGTTATTGACATAAAATAAACATATATTGTGACATTGTGACAACATATATATGACAATGTTTGAATTAATATGACTATCCGTATCCATATACGTTACGTGATGTTGACATATAGGCCTACTGTGACATTGCCTAGCCATATAATCTATTGACATCAACATATATTTTGCAAGAAGCACACATCTATGTGTTATTAAGTGAATTTATAATAGGTATCGGTATAGAGTGTGGAATCGAGAATCGAAACCAAAGTTCTGTAATCGTTATCGTAATCCTATCCTGGAATCGGCCCATTACTATATTTAACTATACTTTTGGCAAAAACATTGTTAATATAGAGATCTCAAAAGGAAAATCAATCCTAATCTCTGTGATCCTTAATATTCTTTTAAGCGCTCTTGTTCCTTAAAGTTTGAAATATAAAAAGTATTTTTGTTCTTGCCTTTGTCAATTTTTATGATGTTGTTAAAGCAATGCAAAGATGTCATCAAAATTGCCCTGATCAAAAACCAACCTTACACATTAAAAGACAAGCTACTTATAGAAATTACACAGAAAGATATTTGTTATCTGTTTTTGACATTTACAGTAATTTCAACATTTAAGTCTTATAATATAAGCCTTTTGTTTGAAACAAAATTGTTCCCATATAAGTTAAGGGCTTGGATCATCCAATTCCAAGAAATGTGAAAAATGTCAATGGGATTGAAAACACGTAACGTAAATATATTGTATGGTCTTCTTTTCAGTGAATTTGAATCCATAGGCGAAACAACAAAAATTTTTCTAATAATGGTACATTTTTTAACATAAACATTCCTTTAACATACTAATTCAAAAACTTCTTTAATTCCCTAGAATTAGCCCATACAGGGTCCTCAAAAAGAATGGGAACAACATTTAATTTTTAAAAATTTTCGTACATAATGTAACAAATCTTTGCCCATTAGTACCATTTCTAAGTACCCCTGCCACAGCAAACCTGCAGACTAAGCGAATTTCCATTTGCCTGATTTGATTTTCACTGAAATCTATTGTAATAACCTAGGGTTCTAATGAAAACCTAGGTTTGCTGCTACTGGGAGGGTAATAGTGTCTTTGATTTTCACTTAAATCTATTTTAATAACATAAGTTCTAATGAGAACCTAGGTTTGCTGGTACTGGGAGGGTAATAGTGTTTGTTTTTTATTAAAATATTAATAGCTTAGTATAAAATAAATTAATTTTCCAAGTTTAATAAAAATATATCCATAAACAAGCAAACTATAAGAATTTACTTATTTTCCAGAAGAATAGCATAGAAATTTTAAATTTACAATTTTAAAATTTTTCCATAACTAATAATTTTGTGCAAAAACACTTCAATATATTAAATTTTTCTTTTTTAAGTTCTACAAAATGGTTTGGAAATAAATTGCTAGATTTTGCGTTTTTAGGGTCGCAATGAGTAAAACCAATTTTTACTACATAAAAACCCCCTTCCCTTAGTCCGATCATGCTTGTTCGCAAACTAACTTGTTAGAATAAACGTACACTTACACATTTGTACCAAATTTCATCAAAATCGGATAATTTATGCTCGAGTTATCGTGCCAATGGACACACACACACATATATAATTAAAGTCCACGCATAGCCATCCAATCTTTTACGGTTTTAATTGGTGAATTGAAAATTGCAAAGCATTCATTTTGAACCCTGGGTAAAACATTTTTAAAAGGTTTGCTTTCTTTAACATCCTCTAATGATTGCATTCTGTTACTGAAAACGTCAGTTGCATATTCCACAGTTGTTTATATATGTACACAATTCAACTGTTGCTGTTGCTAGCAGCAGCAATGTTGCAAGTTGCTGTTGCATTGTTTGTTACTCCATTTGTGATGAGAGTGCCTAACAGCCTACTGATGGCACTCTAGGATTACTTGAATAAACATGTTTGTACTTGTATAGTTAGTTGAATTCGTTCATTTACATTCCTTTGCCCTCGTCCATTTTTAGTTTAGTCTCATTTGCTAATTTTGATCAAGTGAACTCACAAGTTTCAACTAATTTGTTTTCTTAAGCATGCTGTGTGAGAATTTAAATTGCCAAAACATAGTAATACTTATATTTATTTAGTATATTCATTCCTAAACTGAATTTCTTTTTCATGCTGTAAATTTAAATAAATTCACTTATTCTTTTATTGGGGTGGTATCGACTATGAATGAGTGGTTCTACGTTATGTAAGAAAATCAAATAGAGTAGTACATTTTATAGATGGTAAGGATTTATTCTAGTCTCATACTGTGCATTTATTGTTTCACCTAGAGAGAGCAGGGGGTCATTGATACCAACTATTTCATTTTCAACTGACTGTAGACGGAATATAATAATAACGAGCTGTTGGCCCGTCCTATGTACGGGAATCGAGTACCTAGTCAATTAAAACGGAATAGTTCAGAACATCTAGTTTACACGCACAGAGACAAATTCTGGCAGTTTTAATTTTTTTGGTAGAATTTTATTAGCTAGTACCAGGAGACCGAGCTTTGCTCGGATTGAATTACACATTAAATTTATTTGATAAGTTATTTAGCTAATTTAAAGATATTTATTATGTTCTGTAATCAATGTGAACACATTTTAGATGATACAAGGAAAACTTTTTTTAATACACCTTTATAAACGCATAGATTTCTATAAAAATTACTTGTATCAGCTGTTTTATTAACTGCAGCTACAAAAACGTATTGACGATAACATGGGCACTTTAAAGGGCTGTAGGGCGGAAGCTGGATTTTTCCCAGCCTTGTAACCAATTCCAATAGACAGGGTGTCTAGTAGTCGGGAAAATCGGGAAAGTCGGGAATTAGTATTGAATTTCAAAATGGTCTTGAAAAGTCGGGATTTAGTATTAAATTTGATTTCAAAGTCGGGAATTTTTATGATTTTGCCGCGATCGTCGTCTTCCGTTTACGTAACAGCGAAAGCCAATGATGATTGTCCTCACGGCCTCGGAAAATGTTCATGATTTTGCCGTGATCGCGGACGTCAACCATAACGTTTCCGTGACCGCGGGAGATGAAGGTGATGTCTAAACAGCCGCGGGAAATGTTCATGATTTTGCCGCGATCCCTCACGACGACGATGACGTTTCCGTGACCGCGGGAGACGACGATGACGTTTCCGTGACCGCGGGAGATGACTATGACGTTTCCGTGACCGCGGGAGATGACGATGACGTTTCCGTGACCGCGGGAGATGACGATGAAGTTTCCCTGACCGCGGGAGACGACGATGATGTCTACACGGCCGCGGGAAATGTTTATGATTTTGCCGCGATCGAGGACGACGGCGATGACGTTTCCGTGACCGCGAGAGATGACGATGACGTTTCCGTGACCGCGAGAGATGACGATGACGTTTCCGTGACCGCGGGAGATGACGATGACGTTTCCGTGACCGTGGGAGTCGACGATGCCTACACGGCCGCGGGAACTGTTCATGATTTTGCCACGATTGAGGACGATGGCGATGACGTTTCCGTGACCGCGGGAGATGACGATGACGTTTCCGTGACCGCGAGAGATGACGATGACGTTTCCGTGACCGCGGGAGATGACGATGACGTTTCCGTGACCGCGGGAGTTGACGATGATATCTGCTCGGCCGCGGGAAATATTCATGATTTTGTCGCGATCGCGGACTATGATTACGTTTCCGTAACCGCGGGAGATGACGATGAAGTTTCCGTGACCGCGGGAGACGACGATCACGTTTCTGTAACCGCTGCAGTCAATGATGATGTCTAAAAGTATGGTACGCAGAAGATTTCATGATAAAAAAACCAAATTTGCTAGTTAGAATTTTTTATTGCTGCATTATTTCTTTACTTGAAAACACCACATTATCATAATACTACTTTATGTCAAAGACAAAGGGTTGGTGTAGTATTATTTAGAAAATTTGGTTAGAAAAAGCTATAAAAATAGGTACCGGGTATCGGTATCAAGAATTGAGAATCGATACATTTTGGTATCAACACCCACTAATTGTGGAAAAAACTAGTCTTGAAAAATCTGGAATTAGTCTTGAAAAGTCTGGAATTAGTCTTGAATTTTATAATGGAAATAAACTAGACACCCTGAATAGATTTCTTGTGGCCAAATACCCCATAGTAAACAAAAAAATTTAAAATCCTAGGAGCTTCAATAGAGCTTCCAAGCTGTTTTACATAAGTTAATTGGTTGCTGAAATTTACATTTTGTTGGCCATGCCAGCTGTCATCGTCATTTGGGGACTGAGCAGGTTTTTACACACCTAGGGCCGCAAAATCAGCTGCCCGCTTACTTTCTTCAAACATGAATGCATATTAAATACCCAATCCGTATCCATAGCATTGAATTAGAATTGTTTTATTGTCATCGCTGTCTAACAACTATTTATTATTATCTCGAGCCGGCAAAACCGTCTCATTTTCGGCCCTAGGTACAAAATATACTATTACCTACTCCATTCGCCATTACACAGCGACAGCTCGTATGATATCTGCTGTAAAATGGACATACTGTATAATAATGTAAGCTAAGATAAGTTGGTGATCGATCTCATCACTTATACTCTTCAGATGTTGAAAATAGCTTCTCTCATGAGCTTATATACTTTAAATCCTATATTGAAAGATAAAGGAAGCCCCAGCCAAGATGGGAACCAAAACTGATATTGAACTCGAAATTGAATCATACATGGAAGGCAACATTGTTGTATCCAATCAGAAGTCACAATCGTGTTTTGCGGCCGTAAGTGGGCCATACAAGGGCTCTTATAATGCTTTTCATTAAACAATTTTTTGTAAGATTCACTTACTTTTTTAGTTTTGATCACAACAGTTTTGTAAAGAAATGTATTTGTTTTATCAAAAATACCAACTTGGAACGTCCACTATAAGTGTTCAATAAAGAGCATTATAAGAGCCCTTGTATACAAACGTTTTTGTGTACCATTTTCGGGCTGCAAAACACGATTATAACTTCTGATTAGATACAACATTGCATTCCATGTATCCAAGACAGAATCACCTTTTGCATAACAAATGCAAAACAAAAACGTCTGTAAAAAATGGATCAAAATGTTATTAGATTTGTTGATGCAGCATGCAATTGCCGATTACTTTCCTACAAAATCATCTGACGTTAACGGGGTAATCAGTGGGTGAGGAGCACGCTGACAAGTGGAAGGAGGGGTGGCAAACTGGCCAACGTCACTGCCTGGAGGCGGCAGATAGTTAAATACGTCCCTGGTGTCGTTAACACTATCTTTACATGATTGTTGCCTAAACTACTATATTACAAATGTAATTTGACATATTTTTGTACTTTCAAATATTTTTATCTTTTCGAAAGAGAGGTACCGGAACGCCGTTCCGCCACAAATCGAGCATTGGATCTGTTCATAGTGTCCGTACTTGAATTAAATTTCCAGTAGTTGCACTTAAATACATTTGTGTGATACTGATTCAAACTTTCCATTTTACATAAGGTATACATACTTAGATACAAACTTTACTAATGCTTGCAATATTTTACAGAAACCTCTCCAGCCCTCAGGCTATGTTCGTCGCCGAAGAAGATTTTTTTTCACTTTGTGTTCTCCAAAAGTTCATTGAATATGTTTTCTTTAAGATTTTATACATATTTTGCCTGTTTTAGAATATCATAGCAGTGTATTAATAAAAGTTAAATGATATTTATATGCTGTGAGAGTTATTTTTGGAAATATGAAAATGGTCGGTTTAAGCATTGAGTGATTTGGAAAATTCCTTAAAGAATAATATAAATTCATGGTTGTGATACGATTTGCCATATACAATCACTAACAGTTGAATTGTAGATTTTTTTTAAACTGGGTAGCCAAGAGGATAAAGTGCTCGCCTGAAAATCTAAGTGTTATCAGTTCAATCCTGAGTAGTCAGTAATGTTTTGATAGTTTGAAACTTAACTCAGCTGTCCTCATTGTGATAATTCATTGGGTTTTCATTATCCACCGTTCACATAATTTAGGCCGTTTTAGGGGAAGAAATCCATCCCCTCCACTTGGTCCTACCTTTAAAACAATAGCTCAACAGTTGAGGTTCTCCAAAACGTTGATCAGCTGCAACATACATTAAGCGAAAAAAGTGGTTAGGGAACCTCCCCTCAAAAAAACTGCCTAAATTTTGTGAACTGACTAAATGATCCTAGCTAAAAAGAACAGCTGATCCTAGTAAGTTACAAAGCTAAGCAAGGCATGCTGAACTAAGAGATTATTTGTATAACGTTTTGAAGAGTTTATTTATTTTAGGGCCGTGCGGTTCCAACAAAACACCGCCACCGCATTAAGTGAAGGTAAATGTTTTGGTTTTTATTTTAAATATGATTTAATATATAGACTGTATGGAATTTAAAAGCCTTAATTTACCTCGTTCTCTAAAATAAGATGTAGTGTGACCTATTGAAGTGGGTGACACACATTGCTTTGCTAGCGCTTTTAGAAAATTTCCCCTCTAGAGAATAATTTATTACCCAGAACTGATTACCTTTTCGTTTCAATGTCCCAAGAGGCCAGGGATACCCTCTGTTCAAATTCATATTCCATATATATTTATTTTGGTTGTAAATTAAATACAACTGTGCTCCCTGAAATTAATAGATTTTCTTGAAGTTGCATGTTATGAGACTAATTCCATTTTCAAGCATAATACTAACATGAAATATTGAAAGAATTAGTATAATAGTAAAACTCCAATCAGGCAATACAAAATTTACTTAGTCTGCTTGTTAGCTGTGGAGGTAGTATTCAGTATTCATCATTATGTTTTCATTATTTAAAATACTTTTACATAATGGTTTATAAACATTTTAAACCCATAGAAAGAAATAAAACGACCAATTTAAAATTATATATTCATCTAGTTTTGTCACAGCTCAACCTTTGACAATATGTTGAGTAAAATGTATATTAATTTTTTTTCAGTCAATGGCAAAGGAGATAGTTGAAAACCGTGTGACAATTGTCTGGGAATAAGTATTGGTTTACTTTACTTACATGGTGATAGAAAAAGTTGACAGCTTGAATAAAAACCTCAATATTTATATAACAACAAAGTTTATAAAATATCCATAAACTAATGTAACAAAACAACTAAAACTAACTTATGAAATCTAATACTAGTAAAAAACAAGAGTTAAATTGTGATCAAATTGTGTTTTATAATAAATAAAAGTAAATAGTAACATTTTAAAATGAGTTTTTTTACCTATGTTATTTTATCTTTCATACAATTTTATACTATGTCAGTTATTGAGGATTTTTCAAATTTTTAATCTTATCAAACAACCACTGCGCTTAAAAGTTTATATTAATAAAGTAGTGATAGATTTCCACATAAGTAACATTGACAAATAAGTAAATAGTTTGGTTATTAAACATTGTACAGAAGATAGAGAGAGTTATAACTTTGACTATTCCAATAGTTAATGGTTATACAGTAATAACAGTAAACAATCAGTTTTTGTTATTCTAATGAATATTATTTTTAAGATTTTAATTAACTGGTATTATGGTCACGGATAATAATCAGGCATAGTAATAAAAATTATAAAATCACAAATGAATAACCTTATTCACTTCATTTATTTATTACATACAAGACATTATGGCACTCAGAATCCACAATCTCAAATAAATGCAAAAGTAGCAGATTAAGAGAATGATGGTGCTAAAAACCAACATCTTTGCAATTGTGCAAAATAGCGGCATTAAAACATGTTAGAATTTGTAGACTAAAATCTACGATTTTCTGGTGAAATTGACAAGCCTAAAACACTTTTTTTACCAGTTCAACTTAAAAACTCAACGCGCTATGATTTACAGCATTGATATTAAATATAAATATAAATAAAATTGTCAATTATTTATGTAAAGGTGTTTTTCTACCTAAAAATGAGATCAGTAAATGCTATCAACAACTAAGTCTTTCAATTATCCTAACAAAATACAAAACTCTATTTTTTCAATAGAGTGCAATCGAATAAAAAAATTCCACTGCCGCAGCAAACCTGCAGACTAAGCAAATTTCCATACGCCTGATTGGATCTACACTAAATTGTCTCCCTTAAAAATATCACATTTTCCCTATTTAAATAGAATTAGTTTACCGAGTACTTAGGTTTGCTGCAACAGGGAGGGTAAAAAAGTTAAAAAAATGTAAAATGTTAATAGTTTAGAAAAATAAATGCATTTTCCAAATTTGATCAAAGTATGTTCATAAACAAGCAAACTACAACAGTTTACTTATCTATATATATAAAATCCAATGTATGTTTGTATGTTTGTCCTTTATGGACTCCAAAACCGCTCGACAGATTGTAATGAAACTTTCAGGCATTATTAAGCATTATTCAAGGATGGTTTGTGTGAAGTTTGGTGCAGATCCGTCAAAAGGGCTCCGCCCCAGTGGCTCTGGAGTTTCCCATGTTAACCTTATGAGTACTCAAATTAAAATGGAATTAAAGAAAATTAACAGCTGGTTTAACTAAGCAATTTGATTCTGTGATGTTCAATAGCATTAAAAGTTAATAAGTTTACCAACAGGGTGCAGCACAATTATATTTTTTAAATTTATGACAACAACAGCTAATTTGCAACCAAAAGGTGAGTGAGCGTAGCGAACGAACTTCAACCTGAAGGCAAGTGAGCACAGCAAACGAGCTCCAACCTAAAGGTGAGTGAGCGTAGCGAACGAACTTCAACCAGGATCTTGAAATAAACAAGCATTTGACATAAAAGCATAGGACAGGACGACGTCTGTCGGGCCAGCTAGTTATATCTATAAGAATAACATGGGAATTTTTAATTTAAATTTTTTTTTTATTTTCTCCATATCCATTAGGCGCATATTAATGCTTCAATATAATAAATTATTTTGTTTTTTTAAGCTCAGCAAAATGGTTTGGAAAGAAATTGCTAAATTTAATGTTTTTTGGAAAAAAAAATGGGAAAACCCAATTTTTAACCCATTGGTATGACCTCAAATTAGGTGGTCTAAGTTTTTAACGATTAGAAGATTATTTCAACAGTATGATGAAAATAGTTGGTCATCACACGGAGCAAAGTTTCCGCACATATACACACATATTTGCAAACGTTAGTGTTAGTGTGTGTATTTTCATGTGTTGCTGTTTCATTAATAAACTGGTGTAATAAATGAACAAAAATTGACCCCTTGTGACCCGATTGAAAATTAACATCTTGTCCCATTGAAAATTGAATGCGATAGCCTAGACTGGACTACAAGAATCACTCTGGCAGTTAAGTATTTAAACTACTATTATATATCCTACAAGTGATTTGGAGGCTAACAACATGAAATACTAATCTCTGTCATTTCAACAAACTGTAAGCCAAGCCAAACCAAATGGACAACTTGTTACAAACTCAATTTATTTAATCTTTTATGTCACATAAATGATCAAAGTTTCAACAATTAAGAGATTACGGAATTTTACATTAGTACACACACACACACACACACACTTTCCTCCAGATGGTCCATATAGATGAAGTGTCTACTCTAGTATCCAATAGTTATAATAATCATGTTCAAATTGATGCTTCTTGAGAGGAACCTTTGAATATGGTCTGATGAAAGTTGACAATTGTTGCCAAAGGTCTATAGAATACAATAACTATTACAATGACTTTCAGACAATTTTTGTGCCATCCACTTTACATTATTCTACTCTATAGGTTGTATCTCCTGATGAGTCAGCTGTTACTGTGATCACCTGTTCAGTATCTAGAGTCTACATAACGGTTAAACAGAGCTTCCCAGTGTTCGGAACGTCCAGATGTTGGAATGTTTTCTCCGTTTTGTTTTCTAGTGTATTCGTCACATTCTTCCAAACTTGCTTCTCCATTCATGAATCGGCTGCCGAAGCCAGAGTGAAATGTTAGGTAGCGTTGCTGCAATCAAAATAGTGATAACAAAAATACAGCACAACAATTGGGGTCAAATTACATGTGGGTTAATCAATAGCATAATGGTTGTAGCTAATCAAACACCCAAAACAGTTTATAGTTTAGTCGTTTAGTGTATACTGTATGTGTAAAAAATATAAATTTTTGACGATCTGAAAACGAATTAGCCAAAGAACTATTTTTATTTTAATGAAATTTTTTGGAGGAGATTTTCTATTTCCTTTTTGAGAAATTATTTGGCGATGTTAAATCTATTAGTTATTTACTTAATAGATTGAGGTTAATAGAAAGAACTTGTTCCCACAAGCTGTAAAAGTAATGTAGGACGGATCTGTTTAAATTTGAAGTTTAGCATTCCTATACAGGGTGTCCCGGAACTCTCTACCAATATTTTAGGACATTGCTCCTGGCAAAGAAACATACCTAAATATCATATTTAAATTGTCTGGAAGTCCTTAGTTACTCACAAAGCCGCCATTTTTTTTATTAATTTTTTTCTAAAGAAGTGTTAAACCTACGAAATGGAAACTTTGCACAAACATTTATGTCAACTAGACAAAGCTACCAAAAAATTATGAAGATTTTTAAAGGTGTTTTATGAATTTTATGAAGGTTTTGAAAACAAAATGGCGGCTATTAAAAATTGTGTTTCTTAAATAACTCGAAACCCGTTGATTTTTACAAAAATGTTAAATAGCCGCCATTTTGTTTTATGAATTTGAAAAATTGTCATTTTGTGTCAAAAAATCGTCGAATTTTTTGGTAGCTTTGTCTAGTTGACATAAATGTTTGTGCAAAGTTTCCATTTCGTATGTTTAACCATTCTTTAGAAAAAAATTAATAACTGAAAAAACTAAATGGCGGCTGTGTGAGTAACTAAGGACAATATAAATATGATATTTAGGTATGTTTCTTAACCAGTTACAATGCCCTAAAATATTGGTAGAGAGTTCCGGGACACCCTGTATATTAAACAGCTCCAAAATATATATAATTGTTTCCATTTCAAATAATAAACTGAAGTTAAATTAAATACACAATTAAATTACATAGTTTGGGATAATGTGTACTTATTTAAGTGACATTAAGACTATATAATTTGTGATATCGATGACACCGTTAAATTTCAACCAATGCACAATCTTGTATCCAAACATGCAAAGCTCATTTTAAATGAATTAATAATAATTTATTAGTACCTAATAGTAAAATTTAAAAAAATAAATTTCTAGACAAACTTTTTAACTATTCATTTTTTACAAATGAATTGAATATGACAAGCAATCATATCTATATCCATACTATTATATAAAAATCTAATGGTGTCTGTCTGTATGTGTATTACTAATAGGCTCAAAAACTACTGAACCGACTGGGCTTAAATTTTACAATAATATAGCTACCATACCAAGGACCATTATAGGACTATTCACACTTTGATACTGACCGTGGGCTTTGCCCCTTTGGCTTTAAAAGTTCTAAGGTGAGGATTTTAAAAGTAAATATTGATTTGTCTCCATGGCTGCGATGAGAACACTAATAATGTTTGTTTACATTTGCTTTGACATTTCAATGTAAACAAGAAGAACTGCTAAATTACATATTTCACAATTTCAGACAGCTGATACAAAGAAATTAAATATATTTTCCATAACTATAATGAGGTATATTTTAATCTTAAGTTTTATCATGGATTATTTATTCTAAAACTATGTCAATGATTATAAAAAAAGATTCTATAACCGTTGCTGTATCAACTTCGGCTCTGCTTTGGATTTTTTAAAGCGTCTAAGTTATGAAAATAATGTTATTGATATGTTTTCATGGAAACAGTATGAAAATTATAATGTATAGATGGTTTGTATGAATTTGGAGGAATTTTTTTTATAAATTCGAACTGCTTAAAATGTGTTGGATAAACAACTTGCACTTCACATAGATTTTTTATATTTAGGTAAATTTAGTAGTTGTGTTTTACTACACCACTGATTAAATCAAACTTAAGGAAAATATCATAAAACTTAGCTGTAAGTTACACGGTGTTCTTTTGTTTCTAAAATCAATGAAATATTTGTTATTATGTTTACTTAATGGTAAGTGTGAAAATGTAAAGGCAGTAGACTATGGAACTAAATAAAAGAACTGGTTTCTATATTATGTTGTTCTTTGAAATTTTTTTAGAGTAAAATCATAGATGCAATGAAACATATACCGTATTACTATTAATTTTTTTTGTTCTCCGATGTTTTGATAATAATTAGTTTTGTCTGCCATCTTAAATGCCCAATTTCATTTGTAAATTAAATAATATGTACTAAACATATGAAACAAATGTGTTAAGAGTGTGGATAGGTTTGTTTACTTTGGGGCAGAGCTGAATAGCAAAAACACTGTTGCGCAAAAAATCACAAACTGAATCATGGCTGGTAACAGAGCGTATTACGCTAACCTCAAATCCAATCTGATGACCCCCAAGACAAAGATGAAGGTATACAAAACTCTCATTAGGCCTGTTGTTACATACAGTGCAGAAACCTGGTCCCTTTCCCATTGAGCACAAAGGCCATTAGGGTTGAATTTTGTTTGTAAAAGCATTGGCGGATGTGTATATTTTATACAACAGATGTAAAGATCAAAATGTTTCTATTTCAGGTCCTCTTCCCGTTGCAAAGCACGGGTACAAAAGCTAGTTTACAATATGTTCAAAAATATCTTTTTCATGAACATTTATATGTTGGTGCTATTTTAAGAATATAACTACGCCTTCCTACACTTTTCAATATATCTACCTAACCTACACCCCCACTGTAAATGTTTACAGTATCAGGATTGAAGTGTATTTATAATTTTTTTTTAAACGGGTTATAAAACAAACGTTCTTATAACAATGTTACTATACTCTCACCTGCAAATTTTTAATGAACACTCCATCAGCGATGATCTTAGCTGCAACTCTCAAAGCCTTGGCGTAAGTATCGATGGTAGATATGTAAGCGACGGCCAAATCCTTGAGGTCTACAGAGTCAGGACGAAGCTTCACCCCGATGTTGATTCCTCCCGGCTGTAGTCCTCCGTTCTCAATCACAGATTTGAGCAGCAGCACAGTGTCGGGTAGATGAGGAGGCGTTGTTGTGAAGGTCGTGTCGACAGATCCGAGAGCTCCGTAGACAGACGCTAGAGTCAGCTGATGTCCAGGCCTCACACTCAACTTGTACTGCCGGTCCAGCCCGTAGTGTTTGAGGAAGCAGATTGCGCTCGTAGAGTCATACTCGTAACGGAAGAACGTTTTCTGCTCTGTATCGTAGTTGCTGTCGTTGAACCAATCTTCATAGTTTGGCTCGTAAAGTAGTTGACCTCTGTAGCCTAGTCTGTCTTTGTAATCTGTGAGGAAATAGTTATTTTGTAAATATGTTTATTCCTAGCTTTGTTCTCCTAGGAGGAGACGTTGTGATCTGTGAAGAGAAATGTTTAAAATATGCCTGATTGGTTTATAAATGGTGATTATAATCGGTTTCTTAAAAAGAATCAAGTAAGTTAGTAGTAAAAGCAAAATCTTTCATAACTAATATATCTATGTGGAAGGTAGCGATTATCGTTAACAGCTTATGTAAAAAAGGTTATGATTCCAAAGTTTTGATTTAGAGCAACAGAAAATGATCATTTGATTTTCCCTTCTTTCCGATTTGTTTTCCATTTGCTGACAAGGCACTGTTTTATCTTATCCATTTATCTTACCCTTTTAGCGAATTTCCCTATAGGGAAGTAGCTATTACCGTAGGTCTCATGGTAAGACTTAGGCCCGGGACCGATTTACTTTTTCATTTTAATGTCCCCAGAGGCCAAAAACACCATTCGTTCAAATTTTTATATATGTATATATATATATATATATAGATTTATATATATATATATGTGTCCGTGAACACGATAACTTGAGTAATTTTTATCCGATTTTGATGAAATTTGGTTTGAAGGTGTAAGGCGGGATAAACTTGAATGAGTTCGCGATCCAGCATGATCGGACCATGGGAACAGGGTTTTATGGGGGGTTTTATGGGGTAAAAATTGGTTTTTCTCACTTTTTACCCTCAAAACACAAAATTTCCCAATTTTTCTCTAAACCGTCTTAAAGAGCTTAAAAAAACAAACAATTCAGTATATCAAAGTGTTTTTGTACGGTTATTGGTTACAGAGAAAACTAAAAAAATTGTAAATTTAAAATTCCTATGTTATTCTTATGGAGAATATTGTAAAATGTTGTAGTTTGCTTGTTTATGGATATATTTTGATCAAACTTGGTAAATTTATTTATTTTATAGTAAGCTATCAATATTTTACTAAAAACACACTACTTTATTAGTTTCCTTGTAGCAGCTAACCTAGGTACTCGTTAAACCTAATGTTATTTAAATAGATCAATTGAAAATCAATTCGGCCAAATGGAAATTCGCTTAGACGGCAGGTTTGCTGCGGCGGGGGTATTTAATTCTTTGCCTATTCAGCCTCAAAAAGTCAGAGGCATAGTTTTTAACTTACCGTATATCAGAAATCAATCAATCAATTATTTAAGATGGCCAAAAACACCATTCGTTCAAATTTTTATATATGTATATATATATATATATATAGATTTATATATATATATATATGTGTCCGTGAACACGATAACTTGAGTAATTTTTATCCGATTTTGATGAAATTTGGTTTGAAGGTGTAAGGCGGGATAAACTTGAATGAGTTCGCGATCCAGCATGATCGGACCATGGGAACAGGGTTTTATGGGGGGTTTTATGGGGTAAAAATTGGTTTTTCTCACTTTTTACCCTCAAAACACAAAATTTCCCAATTTTTCTCTAAACCGTCTTAAAGAGCTTAAAAAAACAAACAATTCAGTATATCAAAGTGTTTTTGTACGGTTATTGGTTACAGAGAAAACTAAAAAAATTGTAAATTTAAAATTCCCATGTTATTCTTATGGAGAATATTGTAAAATGTTGTAGTTTGCTTGTTTATGGATATATTTTGATCAAACTTGGTAAATTTATTTATTTTATAGTAAGCTATCAATATTTTACTAAAAACACACTACTTTATTAGTTTCCTTGTAGCAGCTAACCTAGGTACTCGTTAAACCTAATGTTATTTAAATAGATCAATTGAAAATCAATTCGGCCAAATGGAAATTCGCTTAGACGGCAGGTTTGCTGCGGCGGGGGTATTTAATTCTTTGCCTATTCAGCCTCAAAAAGTCAGAGGCATAGTTTTTAACTTACCGTATATCAGAAATCAATCAATCAATTATTTAAGATGGGGACGCCACTATGTGCATATTTTAACCCAAATATGAGTGAAGGATGAGTGTAGGATGAGTGGTGCGATCTTGCGAGTCTTGTTAGTGACTAAGGCCGATATGTTCCTTAGGCACAGCTGTTAATTAATAGCCCATACAGCTAATGGCAACTAAGGGACCTACAGTTTATAGTGGAATCCGAACCAAATTTTTTCCTTGTAATTTACGAATTGGTCTAGTTATCGGGATATTAATGCGGATAGTCGTAGTACTCACTAGTGCGGACGTTAATCCACACCAGGGAGCATCGCATCCACAGTGCATCCCTATAAATATCCACAATTCGAATAAATGCTCTTCTCGCATCAATTATTCCACTATGATTTGCCTTGCAAATGAAACTTGATGTTTCTGTTAAGTTCTACCTCTACCTCCACATACTTTGTGTGCTAGAAACTCACAATAACAAAACATAGCTTTGTAGCATACAATAACAAAACATACTACAGTATTAGAGTTTCTTGGGGGAAAAGGTTTGATGTATCAGCTGCTTTGGTTCAGTTGATCAGCCTTAGGCTCTTGGCTAATCCTATTATCTTATATCATTATTATTATTAAATTATTAATATTATTATATGGTACCATTGACTGATGGTACATAGATTATTTCATTTTATTTATTATAAGTGGATGGTTTTATTTATGTTTTAGAGGTAGAGAGGACTTGCAAGTTCTAACTTCGCCTCTCAAATAAATAAGAACATTTTTATTTCATTAACAGAGTTGCGTTCGAAGAACGTTTATAGGGTTATTCCAAAATATATAGTTATAATCTCTACCTGCAGCCATCTTCAGCAGTCTGGCATAGTTGCGCAGTTGACGGGAGTGGTCGGTGTTGAGTGTTGAGCTAAAGCCCTCCCTCGCGCCTCGGAACAGGAAGTTCTCTGCTCCGAGCTTTTGAGCGATCTCCAACGCCTTCTTAATCTGAGCGCCTGCAGCACTGACCACCGCTGCGTCCGAACTGGTGCCTGCTCCGTTGAAGTACCTGGAGAACAAGGTAAATCAGTTAAAATAAACTCTTGGAGAAACTGTGGGTATGAAGATTCTGGAATATTACTGAATACACATTAGTTTGCATGCAAGTACAGTAGAAACTTGCTAACGTGGATGCAACTGGACTTTGGCAGTGCCAGATTGCCAAATTGTCAGATCCCTGTGAACTAATTAAAATTCACCGTTATTGTGATAATAGCCGTAGTGTCAAAAGGGCTATTACTAGGTACTAATAGGCTTTTTTCTGAGTAAGTATAACTCTACTTGATGTCTGCTGATTATCTTTAAAACTTCTGGCAATGCATCTTGGAAGGCTTATTGAGTGTTAAACAAACCCCTTAAATGAATGACAGATTATGGTGCTATTTAATGTGGATTTTAATGTACAAATGAAGACATAATAATTATGCTATATAACTATACATAGGTTAGATTTAGCTAATGGTCCTTATCAATAGGGACAGGATTTTTGGAAATAAGATTACATTCAGAGTCTTGCACTGATGCGCAAAAAGATTTTTAGTAAATTCAATCCGTAATATGTGCTTTGTGGTAAATAAAAACAAGTTTCATATTGTTCGGAATCGAACGTCTTCAGGTGGAAAAGATCATCAGACATGAAAAGATAATAGTTAGTTTGGAAACCAGGTGATGTTGGGAAACGTCATAAAAACAACAAATGTTGATAAAGTCGGATAAAAAAGGAAAGGGGGAAATAATGAAAAAATAAAAACAAATATCAATTGAGGACTCAACACACCAACAGTCTAATTACTCGTGCTGTAATGGTCCGCAAGGTCGCTATAACAATGGCAACATTAGCGCTGAAAAATGATGACAACTGCAACTTTTTCCATTATTTTTTTTTCCATTTGAATGTTATGAACATATTTTTCTTAGCTACTGAGTTTTCTGGCTTTACTTGGTTAGTGTTCTGATAACATTTCTCAGGTTTCTTCCCACCTGAGCACGGGATCAAATTCTAGATCACGAAATATTGTGAAACTTGAGTTTTACTAATCGGTGTTGGACATCCAATAAATCATTTACATATTCACGTACATTTAAATTTAAATGGTTGGGTTACATTCAGTTCACCATGAACTTTGTGAAATTAAATATGATTGAAGATTTCAACTTTCAATTAATTATTCTATTAACTCAAATTGTTCGTAGACCCTACTTGTGCTGGGAGTAGAGATCTACGCCAAGCCACAAGGGACGTACTCCTGATCGGTGTTGCAGTTCGTTGACAAACTCCACACTCTCGTCCAGGTTGTGACTGAACTCCTCCTGAGAGTCACTTTCTGGAGCCAGCTGTCTGTCCCACACTGTCCAATGCTTAACTCCTGCGAAAATTCGCTTATTTGACAACCATCGTCATCATATCATCACTTCAGACATTGCTAAATATTCTTTGTAACCTTGAAAACTGTCTGTGGTTTCATATCATTGATGACATACCTTTGGATATTGAAGTAGACAACCCATCGTTATGGACTAGCTGTTGAGATTTGTTGCTATTAAACTTGGACCTTCCCCTTCCGTAAAATTCTCTATATAAAAAAAGTGTTCTTTCTTTTTTAATTCTAGGGTACACTAAATTACTAGATATTCATGATTCATGATTGCACAAAATAACATATGATTATGACTTTTTTTACCCAATACAATTTTTTACAACTAGGCTGTGCTTTAAAGTTGCATGACATTTATTTAATATCTTTAAACCTGCAAAGACAAAAAGCTATCACATTGTTTTACTGTGCCTGAATGACTACTAAGGATGACATTGTATTTTTAACACCAATCCAAAGTATTAAATAAGTATATCCAAATTAACTGATTCGGTAAAGTATCCTCACATTATTCAATAAATTGACTTTATGTTCTACAATTTATGTCGCTAGAGTTTGATCCTGAGAAGGATCAGGAGTTTTTTCATGGTTCAAAACTGGACCCAGCTGTTCTTAATCACTGGACATATAATAACCAGCTGATCTTTGTAAGTAACAAAGCTGTCGTCTCGTTCATTTAACACTCATCTTCGCAATAAAATAAGCACCCTTGTGTCAGCTATAATAAAGTAGAATCTAAATAAAAGTATTAGCGTCTGATAAGTAAAAAATTATGGGCAGGGAATTGTGTATTCCAGTACTGTACTAGAATACATATTTCCCTGCCCTTAATAGTACTTATACAATCTGAATCTAAACATTGTTGTAGTGTGACTGTGATGATGTGACAAATATAAGATTTACATATGAAGGGAGGTAAATTAGAAGTAGCCGAGGAAAAAGTTAGTTGGACTTTAACAATTTTTTTTTGTAATATTACATACATACTAGTGTCCCTGTTGCTCGAATTCGAGCAATTGCTAAGTATTACAGGCCTTATTTTAAACGAATAACAGTCATAATTTTTTATGACATTAAAAGATTCGACTCAAAGATTATGGAAGTTTTCAAGATGTACTTAACAGATCTATATAATCAACATTTCTTGTAAATATCTTATCATTTTTCAAAAGCTGATCTTGTTTTTTAGTGTTTTCTACAAATAGTCTTATATTCATAGCCGCATAAGGTTGTCCATAATAATGATTATAAAATAAAAAAAATCATTATTTCTATTTCTTCTCCTTAGTGCTGTTCTATGACGTTCCTATGTTTCCATAGTTTGCAAATCAGCTCTTTCAATGATTATTAAGAAATGCAGCACAGTGTAATTCAGTTTTCTTTTTAGCACATCAATTTATCCACGCTCTCTCGCTTTTTTCCATTGTAATATTCACACCAACAAAAATTCAAATAGTAAATATTTAATTTCAACCAAGTCAGTAAATGTTTGTAGCAAACTGTTAAATTAGTAAACATTGACTGTTTAAAGTTTTAACTGTATTTATTTATATTTATAAATGAAACTGTTCCAAACTAACCAAACCAACATAATGTTCTTCTTCTCACTTTTAATTTCTGACCACAGCTGGTTTTAACAATGTTTGTTGTCCGTGTTAATCTTATGGAGAAACACGAAATTTTAAAGGGCCCCAGGGCCTCACTCTCTAATTATTTCCCTAAAAAGAAAGTTTACTGCACAACTTCACGTTACGCTCTTTCCAATGACACCAAAAGCATGTCAATCAGTTCAGTAGTTTCGGAGGAGTAATTATCACAAAAAACCTGCTTGCGTATTAAATAAGTATAGATATTTATTTTTTTATAAGAAAATAAAATAGGTTTGTTTCTATATATTGTGAATCTACACTTACCTAACTTGGAGTAAAATTCAAATGCAGCTCTGAGTCGCCTCTTGTAACAATCTAAAGTTTGAGTTCCATCGTCCCAAGGCCTGGAATACGTCGACTCATTGAAGCTGAACCCTAGAAAAGACTGTGGTTATAAGCACACCATCTCCATTCAGTACATATCTAAATCTATCATTGTCAGTTTTCACTATGGCAATCCTGTCTACAAAGTTGTACCATGGAGTCGTGTCTACTATGGTAATTCTGCAATGTTTCTTCTTGTATTGTTGAATTCATATAAATTAGTGGACTAAAATATGTTATTTTCTTCAATATCAATATCAAACGTGTTTAGATCGAGCATGGCCTCTTCTAATACAAGGCTGCGGTGAGACAAAAGTGGCAACACTGCAATCCCGTCCTACTGAAACAGCTGTTGCATTCATTCATAAATGGAGCGTCTGCACAATGTTTATCTTTGCACGTTTGTTATTACTGTCATAACACCGTAATAGGCCGGCCGGTGCGACGTTGCCACATACCATTAACACCCTGTTCCCTGTACTGCCATGAACCATCTCTGTAGTGTTGTAGAAGCAATGACAGAAAGCTACTATAGTCTACTCACCGTGAGATGTGCTGGGGAGGTGGAAGGCCTGCCAATACGACACTGCTGGTCTCAGCCACTCCTCCATGGGACGGCCATGAACCCTCTCTGTAGCGTTGTAGTAGCGATAACTAAGTGTGTCTTCCACTCCTGCCTCAGGCTTGTACTCCACTTTGCTTAAGGCTATAAAAACAGATAGACACTTATGTCTATTAAATCCAAATTAAATCATTCTCTTCGCTACACTACACAGCAAGCAGCTTATTTCTTTCTGTTATTTTTTTTGACGATGTTTTTTACGGAAAGGTACAGGAAAAATCAGCTGGAAAAGTCAGCCTTAAGTTACAGTAAACTTACAACAGTTTACTGATTCTCCCCAAGAATAATTAAACGTTGTAATCTTAAATTTACAGGTTTTAAAATTTTCTCTTTAGTTGTCAAGCGCACAACCATACTTTAATGTACTTAATTATTAATTTTTTTAAATTTCCCTATAAATGCTTCTTACTATGAGATGTACTCTAGACGGTGCAGAAAGACTACCAGACCCAGGACCGAGTCACTTTTTCATTTTGTTATATGCGTGTACGTGAACGTGATATCTCGAGTAATTTTGGTTCCATTTTGATTAAATTTGTCTTGAAGGTGTAAGGCGAAACAGTGGCAAATCTACCATATGGGCTAATGGGCTTAAGCCGCCCCCCCCCTGGACTCATAAACTTACACTAGATAAAACGAGCCTCGGGCTCCTCAACTTACACTAGATCATGCTAGATCAAACAAGCTCAATCTCTAAAAAAATCACAGTTTTTGAAAATTACGATAAAATAAATGTTGCGCATTAGTTTTGCGTACATAAACTCAAATGGGCAGATTTAGGTTTATATTTTACTAGTGTACCTGTTGCTCGAATTCAAGCAATTTGAGTATTACAGGCGTTATTTTAAAAATAATAACGGTCATAATTTCTGATGACCTTAAAAGAAGCGACTCAAAAGATGATAAAAAACTCACGATGTACATAAGAGTTCGATATAATCAACATTTCTTTTAAATATCTTATCATATTTCAAAAACTGATCTTGTTTTTTAGTGTTTTCTACAAATGTTCCCCACTCATAGCTGCATTAGATTGTCCATAGGCCCCCCCTAATAACAATAAATTCTTAAAAAATCTACGACTTTCCTGTTTCCATAGTTTGCAAATCGCTCAAAAAAATGCAGCACGGTGTTAATTCAGTTTACTTTTTAGTATATCAAATTGTGCAGGCTTTCTCGCTTTTTTCCATTGTATTATTTATGCCAACACAAATTCAAAAAGTAAATATTTCACTTCAACCAAGTCAGTAAATGTTTGTAGCACACGTTTCCTAAAATTTCCTTAAGTTTTCTTAAATCGATTTGTAATGAAATCGCCTTAAAAAAATTATCCTTGTATAATCTTTGTAAAATTAACGGTTTTCTTTTATGAATTTAAAAACCGTCATAATTTTTTTGGTAGCTTTGTCTAGTTGTCATAAATGTTTGTGCAAAGTTTCAATTTCGTATGTTTAACCATTATTTAGAAACAAACTAATAACTGAAATAAAACAAAATGGCGGCTGTGTGAGTAACTAAGGACTTCCGGACAATTTAAATATGATATTTAGGTATGTTTCTTTCCCAGGAGAAATGCCCTAAAATATTGGTAGAGAGTTCCGGGACACCCTGTACGTATAAAGATATAGATTGTAAAGAACAAATTAACATTTAAAATAATAGTTGTTAGCGCAGCAACGTGCGCCGGGTAACTGCTAGTTTATTATAAAAATAAATCATCTGTATTTAATCCTAAATGAAAATTGATCATAACGAAATGAGAGGAGAGATGATAAGATAACCTTGTTATGATTTTTAATATCACAGACTGTATTAAAACTGCGGTTTGATGCCTAATTTAAAAAATGTTCAATATCAATCAGTAATTTCAAAAATAGGTAGCGCATCACTGAATAATATGTTTCTTATAACATGTTTTGTAGCTCTATATTATTTATTACTACTATTAAATATTTAACAGTCCCGTGCCTCCTCTTTTCCACCCTGTATATAGCTAAGGAGTTACAGCACAAGCTAAAATTTCCCTCATGAGCGTACTGAGCATGAAACATGCATCTAACTAAGTAGCTTAAAATTAAAAGAATAAAGTTTTATTCTTCTAGTATCTAAAAACGGTTTGTGTATGTCAAACCATACAGGGTGTTTCCATATTGTCTGGACATATTTTGGATATATTTTTGGACTTGTTCCTTGGGCTAAGACAAATATGAAATGCCATATAAGTATGGGTCTAAAATTCCTAGATTTCGGTTTCTGATTTTTAAGAATTATTTTATATCTTTTGGGCATTTTTCAATATAAAAATTTCAAAATTGGTACAAATGTTTACTTTAGAAGGTAAAAAGAACTTAAACATTTTTGATACAATATCTCAAGCCGTTTCAATATGGTGGCCACTTAAAATCTTCAATGGCAAATTTCACGAAAACCGTTACGTATTAAGAAAATCTTTCTTGAGGTAAAAAGATAATTTAAATCCAAATCAAATGAAACCTTGTTTGTTAAAATCGCATGACAAACTCCCGAGGTATCAGTTTTTTTCTGCATTCGTTTACACAATTTAATAAAAAACTTCTTGATCAGCATTGTACGTGTTATTAAATTTACGGAAAGTAAATGAAAGAAACGTCTTATAACACTTAAAACATATATTTACGCTTATACCGTTACTCACAAGACGGTAAATATACATATATAAAAGATGCCTTAAAATAGATGTTTGTGGTGATTGATTTCGATTGGACACTCCAACAGTATAAGCGTAAATATATGTTTTTAAGTGTTATAAGACGTTTCTTTCATTTACTTTCCGGCAATTTAATAGGAATACCATACTGATCTGTATTATAACAAATAATAAACAGTATGCCATCCTTATATGACATTTTATGTTTGTCTTAGCCCAAGGAACAAATATGACAATTTGGAAACACCCTGTACATATGGGTTTGACGTAGGTATAATGCTTACCAGGGAAAAATTCGTTAGCCTCTGGAATGTTGGCACGACTGGAGGCGTCTCGGAGGGATGAGGTTTTCTGTCGCTTGGCAGCTTGCGCAGTAAACATCGCCATGGTGTGTTGTGGTGTTGTAACGGTGGTAGCACTGACCAAGGGTGTATATATCAGCTGACACATGATACCCATATGTTCCGGAGCCTGGGCTCTGTCATGCTGGATGGTTTTGTAAACTAACACCACTGTTCTGCTAGCATATCTTATAGCCAAAGTAAACTGAAATGGAGATAAAAACAGTGGTTTTTTTTATCGCCCAGAAGTCGGTAATATTATACTCTAGGTTTATTATTAGCAACAAGATTTTGAGTTGGATTCTTAAAAAAAAATAAGTGTGCACTTAGCAATTAAGTACAACTTAGCAGTACCTACAGAGCTAATGCAATAAGAACATAAAAAAATAATACCCTTCTGCAGCAAACCTGCCGACTAAGCAAATTTCTATTTGTCTGAACTGATTGATTTTCAATTAAATCTAATTAAATAACACTAGAAGACCAATGCTGCTCCGCAGCGTATAAAATATAATATACTAGAAATAATCAAATTTATGTTTTTGATTGAGTACCAAAATACAGTATCTTGAGCTTAACTGATTAAAACGATCAATAGCTCAAATTAAAGCCTATAATTTACTGATTATTTTGAGTCTAAAACATATAAAACACAACAACAATACTGGAGCTATTGGGTTAAAATATGCACATAATGGCGTCCCCATCTTAAATAATTGATATATTCATATATTGATTTTTAATCATAGAAAAACCTCATGAAAAATAATTTTTATATTGGATGTTCACCTTGCGTTTGCTTGAAACTCGTACAAATTAAATAACTAATATCTTAATTGAAAGCCAGTACCTAGATACTACATACCGGTATGCCGATGCTTGATGGCAAATCTGTGAGTGTATACCTTCAATTTGAGACGTCAATCATGAAAATCGGTCAGGTAAAAGAGCCAAACGAACTCTGAAAAGAGAAACTAAATTTAACTCCTATAAGAAATACTTGGGGTGCAAATTTTGTTTACTTATAAGTTGAATGGGATTATTGATAAATATATGCTGATGCTTGATGGCAAATCTTATAATAAACTTACTAAAGAAATCAAATTAGAAACTTCCAAAATTAAATTTAAATCAAAATTGAAAAAGTTTCTTATCAACAAGGTTATGCACTCCTTTGAAAAGTTTTAGTTCTATAAGTATTTAGTTATTGATTGCTTTATTTAATTTAAATTGAAACTTTTGGTTTTAAAATAATTTTATCTAACTATTTTAATTTTGATATTTTCAACTATAAACTTTCATATTGCACTGCTTGTTTTAATTTATTAGATCTGAAAAGCTATTAATATTGATGGTATGTTGTTACGCCATGCATGATAATGATGAGTATTTTAGTTATGTTAGTTTTAAGTTACTCTTGACACCATTCCTGTATTCATGTATTGTACTTAAATAAATAAAGTTATATGAAATGAAATCCGTGTGCGCATAAACCTTCAATTTGAGACCTCAGTCATGAAAATTGGTCGGGTAAAAAAGAGCCAAATGAACTCGTAAAAGAGAAACCAAATTTAACTTCCATAAGAAATACATGGAGAGCAAATTTCGTTTACCTATAAGCCGAGTGGGATTATGGATTAACTTTAATGGGTTTGGACCGCTTTCCCTTAAAATTGTTTTGACATCATTACAAAAATGCCACTGGCGTAGACACGAGAAAAAAAAATAGATAAATATATGCCGATGCTTGATGGCAAATCTGTGTATGCATATACCTTCAATTAATCATGAAAATTGGTAGGGTAGAAGAGCGAAACGAACACGGAAAAGAAAAACCAAATTTTTAAAATTTATATAAGACTAGAGGACCCATGCTGCTCCGCAGCGTTAAAATAAATATAATATCCGAAAATAATAAAAAATTACGATTTTTGATTGAGTATTACAGTATCTTGAGCTTAACTGATTCAAACAGGCCTATAATTATCTGATTATTTTGAGTCTAAAACATATAAACAACAAGAATACTGGAGCTATTGATTTTTAATCGTAAAAAAACCTTATGAAAAATAATTTTTATGTTGGATGTTCATTTTGCGTTTGCTTGAAACTTGTACGATTTGAATAACTAATAGCTTAATTGAAAGCTGGTATTTCACTGAAGGTTCTTAGACCAAAATATATAGGATTATATAATTATAACTGGTGAAATACATCTTAAATTGAAGTAATAATTTGAAAATAAATCAAATTATGTTTTCTGGTCGATTATATTTTAGGTATTGTCAGTTTTCTTAATATTTAGATATAAATTATGATGTTTTGCTTAAAAACATCTTCTTTTTATTTCATACAGTCTCCACTACCCCGTACACCTTTCAACAAATTTCCCACAAAGGGAATAAGCTATAACTTCAGGTCTCACGGTAAAACCTAGACCCGGGAAGGTTTGCTTTTTTGTTTTGGCGAATTTGTTCATTGCACACTGAGCTATCAATATTTTGATAATAAACACTCCTTTACATTCCCTGTAGCCAGAAAACCAAAATAACCTACTAATTAAATTTAATGTTATTTGAATAGGATATAAATCTGATAAATTTTAAGGGAATATTTTTGTAGAAATCCAGCCAGGTAAGCTAAATGGAAATTCGCTTAGACTGCAGGATTGCTGCGGCAGGGGTGTTTATTAATACAAAACTAAATGAGAAATCAAATTCTAAACTGCTACAGCTCAAAAAACCCCAAAATTGGTAAAAAATTACATACACCATAGATTTTTCAGAACTTAAATAATTTAAAAACAACTAATCATCCACAAATTTAACGTTATCTTTGAGTTTTTAGAAAATTTCCCTGACTTAATTTTAAAAATTTTCCCCTGACTTTCGGCCTTTTTTAAAAACTTTCCCTGACCTTACAGTTTATGGGGCAAAACCATGTGAAGTCCAAAACTGTTTAAAAATTCTAGCTAAATACCTTCTCAGAATTGCATTATTACAGGGTGCCCACAAAATATTGGTTCAATTTCATTGTTCTTTTTGTAATCTACCACATATTAGTAGAGGGATTTAGCGGCTCCGGCGGCAGTGAGCGTGAGTGAGCGTGTGAGCGTGTGACGTCACACGACGCCGCCCCCGCCCCCGACGCCACCCCCGACGCCCCCACCCCGACGCCACCCCCGACGCCACCCCACCCCCGACGCCACCCCACCCTCGGCGCCACCCCCGTCGCTAACCCCTACCACCATCGGGCAGGTTCAAGGTCATCCTTTGTTGTCTGGAACCACCCTACGCATTGTGGGAGGTCTCCAAGCCAACCCTCCCTACACCATCACTCACTGTCAGCCGCAGCTGCTCCCCAACACCTGCTCTCCAAGCGGCCCCCACTCATCCCTTGTATTCTTTGTTCTCCCCATAGCGCACACTTATTTACCACCAATAGGATGTTAGCTTATTTTGACCAATCAGAGAGCAGTATTTCACATATTTCAAATATTTTAACCGTTTTACCTACCAGACTGTTTGAACGACCAACCCAACTGAAAAAGTGGTAGGAATAGTGATGTAATAGACTAACTATGAAAACTATGAAACTATGAAAATAGCATACATATGACACAAAATTGTAAGAAAAGTGTATGTTTTTCAAGTCCAATAGTTTAGTTTATTTTACTTTGCGGACTATGAAGAGAGAAGATGCTACTCACATTTAGATAGTTTCGTTTTAAACTAAGAATAGAACAGACTGAAACATTATTACGTTAACATATTCTGCTAAGGTTACAACATATAATAGAGTGTTAAATGTAAACCACGAGTTATGTGGGAGGTCTCCAAGCCAACCCTTGCTCCTCCCGCTCACTCACGATCCTCCCGCTTACTCACGCTACCCCCACCCGCCCCAACACCAACCCCCCCACACTCACACCTCGACACCCCCACCGCCCAACGCCTCACCACTATGCCCCCACCCCATTCTTCCGCCTTCGCGAAGGTTCAGGGTCATCCTTTGTTGTCTGGAACCTGCCTATGCATCGAGGGAGGTCTCCAAGCCAACCCTCACTACACACCATCACTCACTGCCTTAGCTCACTGTCAGCTACAGCCGCTCCCCAACAACAGTGCTCCAAGCGAAAGTGTTTCACTAATTAAATGCTGTTTAATATTCAAACCATGACACGTAAAATTAATTTTTAGCTTAATTTATATAAAAAGTATTAAACAAATTATTCTATAGTTTTTTTTTTCAATCCATGCAACTAATGAGAAAGCAATAACAGGATTAATCATTACGATTTGGCAGGTCACCAAGAATCGATTTTACTGCCCAACAAATTTACTAATTCTTGGGAGAGTAATTAAGGTGTGAAATACAAACATTATCGTTATTATATCACTTTTTCTTCAAAAAAATAATTATCATTTAATGCCTACATGACCCGTAATGAGTATAAATTTATCCATTTTCCACTAATTAAACTGTCACTCTTGTTCAAGAAATTTAAGAATTTGGATTTGTGCCTATACATAAAGTTAGTAAATAAGATAAATTACGTTAAAAACTTCAAGTTTTTATGGTTTAATTTAAATTGTTGTCGTACATTTTTCTTTTTTTTTAAAGATAACTAGGTTTGATAATACACATCTATTTTGTATAGGTATGAGTACAAAAATATATTGATTCTAGTTTTGGCTTAGACTGTACTCAAAAATTTCACTAAAATTAAAAGTCGTATAATTTAGCTGATAACGTTACATAATACTATAAAACTAATATTTTTACAGAACTATTATCTGACATTTTCTCACTTGAGGAACATCAATTGTCTAGGCAACGCACATTCAGAATAATATACGGGCTTTGTTGGTTGATAGTTAATCAGTTAAAAAGTAGGTTACGTAACTGAATAATTTCACCACGGAGATAATATTTGATAAAACGAAACTATTGTCCCTGTTGAGTTTTGCTTGTCTTCAAAAAGGTGTTATTGAATGATTATTTTTTGTTAGATTTCTTGAAAAAATAGTTAGCTGTTTTGACAAAACATTTAATTGAATTAATTTCAGACAAAGATATCACCAATATTTTAGTTATGTTTTATTATACGTCATAACGAAAACGTTACAAAATTAAATCTCACTTATGGA